AAGTCAGATTAGAGAGACTCTCTCCCACCCTTGACGTCTAATCACTCTCAAAATCTACTCAGATTCCTCATCCCCAGCCCGTGACATCTGAGCACACTGGCCTGCTCTCAGCAATTTTCCACCCACCAACACCCTCCCACCCCAACTCTGCTCCTTGGCTGTAAATCCCCAGCTGTCTTTATTGTATTCGGAATTGAGCCTAGTTGTATACTGAGGTCTCTTTTCCCCTATTGCAATAGTTTCTGAATAAAATCTATTTTTACTGCTTTAGCTAGTTAAAGCTCTGGTTCTGTTTGACAATATGCACAACCATCTACATATACACACACAGTTCGAATGTTTAAGATAATATATGGTCTCAGTGCCTATATGGTGATGATGGAAGTATGAATTAGCGTAAGTTCTAAAAGGTTAATTGGACACTCTATATTTGAAATCTTTAAACCACTCATACTTTGTTGCCCAGTAATAAAATGTTTAAAAACTAATTATAAAATATCATTATGCATAACTCAGTCCATCCATTTCTAAAACTAGGAAAATAAATAATTTATTTAGACTATGCAAATGAATATCAAATGCAGTGGCATGAAAAATCACAAGATAAAGAATCTATTAAGAAACAAATCTAATACCAGTCTGAATAATTCACATCAAAATCCATTGTGAATCTACAGCAATAATTTTTATACTGTCAAGATACACTTTTTTCTAACAATTATCTAAATGTAATGCTGTAAAATATGAAAATGTTCTAGGTTAAAGATAGTCTCAGTTGGACCTATAGAAGAGTGTATGCATACCTAGGGTAATAAAAGGGAAGTAATAATAATAGTTCATATATATCGTACTTACTGTGTGTCAGGCACTTTCTAAGCTTTTTTTACAAATAATTTCTTATCAGTGCAATGAAATAGATGCTATTATTATCCCAGTTTTAGAGACAAGGAAGCCAAGGCCCAGAGAAGTCAAGGGCCCAAAGTGACACAGCAGCACACAGGACTGGGTCTGAACCCAGACGGTTCAGAGGACTTGTGCTCTTAACGACTACAAGCAGGATTTGCAATCAGACAGACCCTGTGTTGATATCTTACTAGAGTCATGCTCTTGGTCCAGTTGTTTAACTTATTTTTTTCTCAATATTGTCGTCTGTAAAACAGGGATAATAATGTAGATCTCACACAGTTATTGTGAAAGCCGGAGAGAGGGGCAGTGAAGAAACCTCGCTGGGGCTGGCTGAACCAGCGTGGGCCCAGCGGCCGGGGGCCACTAAATATGCGGAAATACAGGTAGCCTCGCGCAGTTGGAGCTGGGTCAGGCAAAGGCTCCTCTCCCCTCCCCCACAGCCTCATATCTGATGGTATGCTACTGTGACAGCAAGCCTTGGACAAATTCTGCTCAGCGTCTAAACATCCATTGGCCAGCAGTTATAAAAGCAGCCCTGCTTTGCCCCTACCTCTCCAACCATGCGCTCGTGTGAGAGGCTCACTCAGCACACATTCCGAAGCCAGGACTGGCCAGGTCCGAAGTCAGGGCCTGTCGCCCGAGGCCGCTGTGAGAGGTCTCTAGAGAGCCGCACTTGGCGGCTGCGCTGCTTCATTCATGCGGTGGCGGGGGGCATGTTCAGTCTTCCTACAAACCATCCACCCTGAACATACTCATTTCATCAGTGGAAATTATTCTTTAACATCCCTACTTTAATTAACAAACTCTCTAGTGTCAATTTCCATAACCAGATCTTACGTGCTGAGACCTGCTTTGGAGTGCGGACTCCTGATCAGAGTACCTCAGCACTGTGTTCCTAGAGTGTAGACTCGAGTTAACGTGTGCACACTGGCATACGTGAAACTGTCTCATACCCAGTTATTGTGATTGGAGGAGCGTTGTCACACACGATGTAACAGTGCTGTGCTGAGGTTTCACTGATAAATATTAGAATCCTTCTCCGTTTCTGGACCCCTAACTGTTGTCCATCCCATCCCGCCCACCCCCATCTTCAATGTAAATGTGACTAAAGCCTTTTGGAGCCTAAATATTTACAGAATCTAATCAGAGAGGGATATATAGAGATATAGGGAATTCTACATCATTTCTCCCCAAGACATAAGAAAGGTACCTTATTGCTTGTAAAATAATCATGTTTTAGATAATCATGTATCTAAAAGGACATGTCTAGAACAGTAGAGCAAGGCTGAGATTTTGCCATACAACACAGACAGTTATCTGCAGCTGCACAAACTGTTGCTTTTTATGAAGCCCTTCAGTGAAACACGCTGTGATAGAGGAACGCACCCCACCATCCATTGATAACTGCAGTTAATCCTGGTGGTGGAATAGATGGAAAGCAACGGAAAGGTTAGTGTACGTGAGGAAGCCGTCTGGGTTAAAACTGAGGCAGCCTGACCTTGTTTCTCCAGAATGGTCTGACGTGGCCTGTCAAGCATGCACTGTACATCTGCTTTAAACAGCTAGGGCATCCCAAAGCAGAGAAGGTTGCGTTTAAAGGTAGGGATGAATGCCACCCTCCAGCATCAGCATTTCTCTAAAGATAAGCATTCCTTCCCAGAAGCCAGAGTGGGACTGACCTGCTGTATGTGGCAAAACATCTTGTGACTGTAGTAAAAAGAAAAAAAGTACTCCTGCCGTATTTGCCGTATGTTCCTTGTTCCAAAACGGTATATAACCATGCTGTACGCCTTGCTTCTCCAAGTGCTTTCTTCCCTGGCGGAGGTCGCTCTCCTGGGCTATAGTCCTCGGAACTGGCTCATGTAATAAACTCACCCCATTTTTAATCTGTAGATTGAGTATTAGTTACTTGCATCAACACTGGTGTACCAATATTCCTTTAGTGTTTTATCTGTGCATGGGTTTATCGGCTGTTTATATGTGGTAATTTGTGCATGGTTATAAAGATCCCATGCTTCTCCAAAGTAAAAATAGTTTTAGCTTATTTTCTGATTATAAAAGATAGTATATGCTCACTGTAAAAAAAATGTAAACAATACAGAAAGAATAAAAAGAAAGTAAAAAAATCTAAAATGCCACTATTCAGAGATAAGAAAGACAGATTTGCTTTCAGTGTTTAACACACACACGTATTTTTGAAGGAGCCCATGGTGAAGACTCAGCCTAAGGATAGGAAAGACTCAGCAAAGTGGTGAGCCTTCCGGAAGCACTGAAGGCTTGCCTGTGCTTCCAGGCAGAAGTCTTGTTGTTCTGAGCAAACTACTTCTGAGGGCTTTTGTGGTGGAAACGAGGTGTGAATTAAGAAGTTTGAGGGTGATAGCTCTAAGGAGCTAAATTACTATGAATAATAATGTAAAAATGGTCTCAGTAATGGTAGACTTTTGCTTTTTATTTTCTGGAAATGAGAGGGAAAAAATTGATGCATTCATTTCAATGCTAAGATAATGCGTTTTCTGGAAGTTGTATGTGTACCATGGGGATTGCTCAAGCAACCACAAAATGTCACTGAATTTCCTTGCGTGCGAGGTCTCGTTTTTCTTGTTTTCAAAACCTGGACAGACTAGCTCAAAGAGACCCAGAAGAAAATGGGAAGCAGGCCCCAGGCCTGGTTTCCACCTCAAGCTGGGAGAAGGCCTCACTGTTGATTGCTGCTACCTTGATCCAAAGGTTGCCTCTGAGCCCCAGACAAGGAGATGCTTATCCTGGGTCAATATAATGGAAAGGAATGCTAGTACAAATTAGGCAGCCTGGACAAAATCTGAAATTATATATGAGTATTTTGTGAGGTTATTTTGTGTGTGTGTGACAACAATAATTCCACCTTATGCTTCTGTAATGTTTCTTTACTTTTTAAGAGTTTCCATTAGAAATACTTCCCTCACCCCTTTCCATTCTCTGTATCTCTTGATTTTCTAAAACTCTGGTGTTTTCTAAAACTAGATCACATTCCACCTACAGCTAAAAAGCCCCCTATCACTTCCTCAAACCTTTGTGATAAAATCCAAATCACTGGCAGAATCCAGAAGTCTCTCTGGGCTGACTCTTACCTCTCTCCCCGACTGGCATGAGGGCACCATTTGGATTCTAAATTCCATGAAACCAGGTACCGTGTTTCCTACTAGCCATAAGCAATTCTTGAAGACCATCTCTATGGGGAGATGCAGCGTGCCGTGGTGCTTTAGTCTTGCCACGACACGGTGTTTCCAGCTTCCCAACTAGATATGTAGTTCCTGTTCCACTAATTCCCTTCATCTCTGCATCCCTTTTCACTTGATCAACACCTCTCTGATTCCAGCTCAGTGCAGACCTCCCTGCCACATGTGGGAAGCCGTCTCTGCCCTTCCCAGAATGGATTCAGCACTCTCTCCTGTGTGTCTTTAGTCCCCTCCGCTCTCCTCCATCCACATCTTCAGCTCACCCTGTCTTTGTCACTGCCATCTCACAGCTCTTAACTGCAAGCTCCTTGAGGACAGAGACTAGGTTTTTATCTCCTGTTACTAAACTGAGTAGGCAGAGCAGGAATTTAATTTGTGTTGAATTAGAATATTAGCTAGTTCATTTGCTCCCCTCCCCAACTCTCCCGATTAAGGGGATAGAGAAGGCCTCACGCAGTGAATAGGCAGCTGAGGGCTGGAGTGTTTGGTAACTTGTCCAAGGTCTTACCGCTAGTTAGAAACAGAGCTTGAACTAAAATCTGGAATTGAGACCAATGATCTTTCCACTGTTGTCTCTCTCTTTGCCTCCTCTTGCCCGTGGGTGCACACACCGCATCCACCACTGTGATGAGTTCCAGGTCAAGTTATGATGTTAACCAGATATTCCAACCACTGTGTGCTGATAGGACTCTAGAAAAAATTTTTAAAAAGCATTTTGCAAGACATTTATGGAAGTAAGAGATATGTTTTTATTTAACCACCAGAACCTCTGTAAAAATTGAGGTTGTTATTTCTGGAGATTCCAGAATTTCCTTTGGCAATATCCCCCAACCCAAAAGAAAGTCTGACAAAGTCTTTTAAAAATCTGTGCTGCAATAGGTGCCGTTCAACGAGAACCACTGCAAAGACAGGGTTAAGAGCACAAAACAGCTGCAGACCATATATGGAGAAACCCATTTCTTCAAACGGGGAGGAGTTCCCATTCTGCTTTTTGTTTTCTCAAAGCTGAGGTCAGCTGTGATTGGTAAAACGGAGAGACGCGCCCACTCCCAGACCTGCGGTGGCTCTGGATTCCAGCATCCAGGGCTCCGGGCCAGGCAGACTGAGCATGCGAGTCACACTTGCTGTGACAGCCTGGATGGTTTCTTTAGTCTCCAGTTATTCATCTCCAGCAGATACTTTGCCAGATATCAAGAATGAAGATTTCATCAAAGAGTGTGTTCGAATGCACAACAAGTTCCGATCAGAGGTGCAGCCAACGGCCAGTGACATGCTATACATGGTAAGGAAAATATCCGTATTTGTGGCATAAGTCAGTCAAAAACAACTAAGCGGTATTGATTTGGGAGGTAATCCTTGGGAATCCTGAGTGTACAGTAACACAATCTGTGGTCAAGCGCGGCCAGTTTCATTCTGTCTGCTCAACTCTTGTTAACAGCAATCTCGACAAGTGCATTTTACTTCTCTTTTTGAACACTTCCTTTTGCTGTTCACAGGTAGCTTTTACTTCCCTTTTCTCCTCTGTTAATTTTTGTGAGGTTTTCTGTTTGTTTGTTCTCTAAGTTTACTGTTTTCATTGTGGGCAGAGCATGGACTTCTCAGGACGGCAGCATGGCATCTGGGAGAGGAGAGGATTTTGGTTCAGTCAGTCTCGGTTTGAATTTCAGCTCTGTGGCTTTGAGCTGGTCTGACTTTCTGAGCTGCTTAGGATAGGCGCTACCGTGGTTAGCAAATTACATAAAGTAAGTGAAACACAGTGTCCAGTATCTTGCACAGAATGGGCCTTCAGTGAAATGTTGGTCTGTGTCCCTAACTTAGATTCTAGATTCCACAGAACGAGATCACCCGGGTCTCCACAGCCTGAGGCCATGTTGAAGAGCACACTCCTGCGGGACCTGCGTCTGTGGTTCCCCCGACCTCTGTCATCGCACCTCATCCCATTTCAATCCCCACTTTGCTTACTCCACTTACGCTGTGGGTATCACTTCCATTCCTGACCCTCCTGTTGTTTAATATTTATTTTCGCAGACTTGGGACCCAGGACTAGCCCAAATTGCAAAATCGTGGGCAAGAAATTGTCAATTTTCACATAATACACGGCTGAAGCCACCCCACAAGCTGCACCCAAATTTCACTTCACTGGGAGAAAACATCTGGACTGGGTCTCTGTCTCTGTTTTCTGTGTCTTCAGCTGTCACAGCCTGGTACAACGAAAGTAAGTTCTATGACTTCAAGACTCGGAAATGCAGCAAGGTCTGCGGCCATTACACTCAGGTAAGTATCGGCCCTATGTTCCCTTGAAACCATCTTTCCAAGGGTGAGGAGAACACTGGAATCTGGTGCAAAGAAAATATATAGTAAGCTAGTGCATCTGTCAATATGACAGAGTAGGGGTTTAAAAAATGAACTGTTTTAAAGTAAGTAAAGTAAGTAAACTTTTAAAGTAAGTAAGTAATTTAAACGTCTAAATTTTAAAATTTACTGTAAAAAAATAAATACATGGAATAGACTCCAATACCAGAGGAGATAGTGCTTGAAGAAATCGGTTATGTGGACATAGGTGAAATGTGAGGCCCACCAATATCTGGGTAGACTTTGAACAATGTTGACAACAGCTGTCTTCTCAGGGGACTTTATTCCATTTGTGAGTAATCAAAGGACCTTCTAAGTGAATGGATTTCCAGGTATGAGTTCTCTATGAAATTTGAGGCAATTGTTTAGGGACTATAAAATTGGGAGAAATAAGCCTCTCCTTTTTTTTTATGCTTTTTGCTGACGAAGATTGGCTCTGAGCTAAAATCTGTTGCCAATCTTCCTCTTTCTTTTTTTTCTTTCTCCCAAATCCCCAGTACATAGTTGTATCTCTCAGTTGTAAGTCATTCTAGTTCTTCTGTGTAGGATGCCACCACAGTATGGCTTGATGACTGATGTGTGGGTCCATGCCTAGTATCTGAACCGGCGAACTCTGGGCCACCAAAGCAGAGCGAGCGAACTTAACCACTCAACCTCGGGGCCAGCCCCAAGCCTCTCATTCTTATTGATGCTTCCATATCCTCTTATTCTTTCAAACATGGACTGAGAACCTATGATGTGCCACCCGAGGAGGAAAGAACAAAAACAAAACAGTCCAAGCCCCAATGGAGAGGCCAACATGTCAACTTGTATAAACCATCCAGTGGCTGTTCTGCCCCCAGAATCTACAGCATTAGTCCCAGTAGCCAACAGGGAGCCTCCCACTGCGATTTTGTCTTTTACTCAAGCTGGTTTTGGCTTCCTCACCCTACTCACGTTTGCAACATGACAGAAACAAATCCCTAAGTAGCGTCATCTATAGTCGTCTTAAAATGCTGCCTCTCTATCCTGGCCACACGTTGTTTATTTTTATTTCCTGGCAGTCCTTGTCAAACTAATAACTAAAGGTGCTGAACCTGTGTTTGACTGGTTTTTGTTTTGTTTTTTAAGATTGGCCCTGAGCTAAAATCTGTCGCCAATCTTCCTCTTTTTTTTTCACTTCCCAAAACCCCAGTGCATAGTTGTGTAGCCTAGTTGTAGGTCATTCTAGTTCCTCCATGTGGGACGCCGCCACAGCGTGGCTTAACGAGCCATGCGTAGGCCACAGGCAGCATCCAAACCGGCGAGAGCATAGCCCGTGAACTTAACCACTATGCCACCGCCGACCCCCTGACTGGTTTCAGTGTACAAAAATTTGTTGAAATGAGGTATGAGGGCAAAAACATTTCTAACAAGGCAGTTAACTTAGAATCTTAGATGTTTTTCAGGAGGAAATGTTGGAAACACTCTCGGTAGAGTTCAGCCTTATAGAACCTCTGCTCTCACAGTGTCGTTACAGGCAGACACATTGGCACAGTTGTAGGAGATGACAATGTTGAGAGGGAAGGACTGATTTCAGTGGCGTTTCCCTCTCGGGAGTCCTGTAAGCAAAGAGTCGCTGTCAAATCAGCAGCAGCATTGGTCCCTTTCTTAGAAATAAAAATAAGGTCTCCCCTCGACTTCTCCCGTAAAGCGTCAATTTTGGTTTATGTTTACAATAAATTTAACCAGAAAGTAAAGTCTGTTGGATTCCCACAAGTCCTAGAGGGCAAGAAAGCTAAATCCAGATTGCCTATGAGTGGTACCTGATACCATTATGCATTGTGGTGTTTAAATCTCCAGCAATGTCAGTTTGAGGGTGCCGACTCGCCTTCAGTCAGATTTAAGCCTCAGTCCTATCCCAGGCACTCTGTAAGCACTGGTCGTGTGTCTTAGTCCAGATGCCTGGAAAACGGAACCTGAGACAATAGCCTCTGTGCCAGCACTCTACTGGTGAGTCCAGTTGCAGAGAAGAGGGGAGGAGGAGTGGGGGGGGGGGGAGGGAATGAGGGGCGCAGTGGGAAGGGACCCTGACCCTGGGGAATTGACCTTCTCCTGGGAGAGGTGTGTCAGTGGCTGTGTCAGAGTGCGTGGCTGGTGCAGTTTGGAGAAACTGACGAGGTGCCGTGTGAGCAAAGAGGACAGAGCAACTCATGCGGCCAAAGGGAGGTCTGGAGATGGGCTCACAGCAGGAGATGGGTGAGTTGGTTCTTGAAAACTGAGTGAGTGTTTGTTGAGTGAAAACGAAAGGGAAGAGAGCTCCAGGCAAAACGAACAAGGTGTAGAAGGTGTGCAGTGTGTGCAACTGGGCCTGTCCTTCCGAAGAATGGCAGGCAGCTCAGCACGCAGGTGTACCGAGAGCAGAGACATTAAACTGACAGCGGACTCTGAAACTGTGCGAGAGCCTCCGTGGCCCTCATGCCAGCGGGTCAGAGCAAGAGGAGGAAGCTCGAGCTAATGGCATCTGGGCCCGAGATCTCAGAGACGGCCCTCCCAAAATTAACTGAGCTTGCTGGTAAATTTTCCCCCTATGTCTAGGGAAAAAATGGAGGGCTAAGGTTTTGGACATGAGAAAACTCATTTCCTAAAATCCAGTTCCTTACATCTAGGTATCAGAGCCCAAGCTGAGTGAGCCTAACCAGTGCATTCACATCCTGCTGCCTCTTCAGAAGAGGGGCCCTCCTCATGGGGAGCGTGCCCAGGGACCCGTGGGTCTGGGGAGACGGGGCAGGAGCAACCATTTTTTAAGTCACGTGGTGTTTAGCTCTCTTCAGTTCCCACCATAAACCTCTAAGAGAGGTGCTGTTACCCATGGGGAATAAACAGGCTCAGAGAGGTTAAGAAGTCGTTTTCCCAATGTCATGGAGCTAGTGAGAGGAAGAGTCGGGATTCGAATATCAGGGATGCTTTAGGATTAAATAATAGAATGTATATCAATTATCTAGGAAAGTACTAGTATTTAGTAGGCACTGAACAAAAGTTAGCTCTCTTCCAGCAGCTGGTTTTCCACCAGTTTTTGGGAGAAGACTCTGATAGCTTGGTTAAAGACTTCCGTTTTCATCCTTGCAAGAAATGTTGCTGGGAGATTCAACACTGCTCAGTTCTGTTTGAAATTCATGCTGGAAATTACCTCAAGTGGGTATTATAACCCCCCACTTCTCCTCATCTTCTATTAATAAAAAGCAAGCTATTATCAGGTTTTGGCCGGTGAAGGGTGGTTGTATGGAGCAAAGACAGTAGTTTCAGATCCATTATGACCTCATAACGGTGTGATATTTCTTGACTTGTTAACACACACTTTAGCTCTGTCTTCACTAGAGGCAGATCTGCATTGTGGAAGAATCTTGGTACGTTAATATGAAAGATTATTCAATTAGTAGGGCAGCCGCTTGGGTTTGGTAGTGCTGTAAATGCCCACTAGATGGCACTACTGATCCATTTTTGTTTTTATCCCCACCCTACCCCACCCTCTTGAAATTTTTGTAATTTTTACACTCACAGAACCAATGGAAGTGTGACCTGTTTCAGGTTTCTCTAGCTGGTTTTATATGTGTTGCAGTGTTACCTGCATACGCCTTTTAATCAGCCAGGTGGACTCACACTGAGAATCGAAAGATGACGATGGGAAGGGTTTGTCAGCTAGAAGGAGAGATGACCACACTGACGGCCACACTGGGTGCCCAGATACTGTGTTTGTGTCAGAAAGGTGTGGAGTTGCTCCCGGTTTTGCCAAAAGGGAAGGTGCTCTGAAGGTACCTTGCCTAGGGCGTGGACTGTCCTCCCAGGACTTCGTGGTCACGTCTCCTCTCTAGAAACAGGGAATCCCTATTTATTGATGTGCTGCGAGGCCAGACGTGATGTTGCACGGAAAATGCGTAACACTGCCTTTGCGCTAAGTAAATTCTCAATAACGAGTAGCTCTTATTTTTTTTTATAATTATGTTTTTTGTTTACCATTATAAAAGAAATGAAAAGGAAACATACAACAGAAATCAGCCTAATAAAAAACCAAAGATTTCAAAAATTTTAAAGGAAAACAAAATTAGTTGTAAGAGGAAAAACACATGAACATTTGCCGAGTGCTAGATTCTCAGCACTTTCTTCTTAGCCCCTTTAAAATGGTAAAGTAAGCCTGTGGCACCGCTATCATTTATAGACGAGGCAGCTAAGGCCAAGGTCGTAGAGGGAGTGGCTGAGCTGAAATATGAACTGGGTCTTTGTAGCTTCAGAGCCCACTAGTTTAACCCAGAACCCAATGCCCATGAAGCTTTTAAAAAGAGACCAGCTTGAATGGATAAATAAACTGTGGTACATCCATCTGATAAATACTAGTCAGCGATAAAAAGGAGTGGCTGCTTATGATCAACACGTGAATGAACCTCAAATGCTTATGTTCAGTGAAAGAGCCAGATTGAAAAAGCTGCATTTAAAATGATTCCATTTGTATAATATTCTGGAAAAAGCAAAACTACAGGAACAGAAAACAGATTAGTGATTGCCAGGAGCTGGGGTGGGATAGGAGCTAACCACAAAGGGCACAAGGGAACTTTGTGGGGTGATGGAAATTTCTAGATCTTGAATATGGTGATGACTGCACAACTACATGCTTTTATCAAGATTCATAGAACTGCACCCCTAAAAAGGGTAGATTTTACTGTATGTTAATTACAACCCGACTTAAAAAAAGAGACCATCTAAAACACAAAATGAGTAGTAATTAACATTTGCACGCTTGGGAAAAAGAGACCAGAAATCTAGAAGAAAGTACAATAAAAGATATAGCATAAAACATAAAAGTGGCGGGGAACCCAAAGATTGAGAATATTTGAGATACAACACCACCAGAAGAACGTACTCACCGACCAAAAGATAAAAATAGACAGTGATTTATAGTCATGTGTCGCTTAATGACAGGGTTACTCTGAGCAACGCATCGTTAGGCAATTTCATCGTTGTGTGAACATCACAGCGTGCACTTACACAAACCTAGATGGTACAGCCCACTTCACACCTACGCTGTATGGTACTGATCCTGTGGGACCACTGTCATATATGAAGCCCATCGTTGACCAAAATGTCATCAAGCAGTGCCTGACTGTGCTAAGGTGATAGTAAAAGGAACACAGACAACCTTGTACCCAGTTAGCATGCATAAGAATCACGTGAGAAACTTGTAAAACACAGCTTTCATTTTTTATGGCTGAATAATATTCCATTGTATATACATACCACATTTTCTTTAAGAAAAAATCCTGCCTTTTCCGACAACGTGGCTGGGCCTTGAGGGCGTTATGCTAAGTGAAATGTCAGCCAGAGAAAGACAAATACTGTATGATCTCACTTATACGTGGAATCAAAAAAAAAAACAAAAAACAAACTCAGATAGAACACATTGGTGCCTGCCAGGGGTGGGGAGTGGGAGGTGGGCAAAATGAGTCAAGGAGTCAAAAGGTACAAACTTCCAGTTATCAAATAAATAAGTCCTGGGATGTGGTGTACAGCACGGTGTCTATAGTCAATACCGTATTGTATATTTGAAAGTTGCTAAGAGAGTAGATCTTAAAAGTTCTTCCTCATCACAAGAAAAAAACATTTGTAACTGTGTGTGGTGACAGATGTTAACTACACTTATTGTGGTGATCATTTTGCAATATATATGTATATCTAATTATTATGTTTTACATCTGAGACTAATATGTCACCTATATCTCAATTTTTAAAAGTACAGATTTCAAGGACAATTCCAGTGACTCTCTTCCAGTAGGACTGAGATGGGCCCAGAAATCTGCATTTTAAATGAAGCACCTCAGGTGAAATCACTTTGAGATGCAGTGGATAGAAATTAAGAATATTTAAAATAAATGCAAAAATGATTGTAAAGTAAAAGTACCGGGTGGAACCTGAGGGACACTAGCCATAAAGCTGGGCCTCTCAGTGGGAGAGGGGCCGAGCACTGGGTGAACTGGAGCTCCCCGAAGGCGATTCCGGGGCACGGGGTGTGAAGGGAAGCGTCCCACTTCCATCGGGGAACAGGGAGGGCGCCACCCAGGCCGAGGCAGAGCTTTGCTCCTCCTCGGGGGACCAGGAGCTGCCTTCCCAGCTCCTCCCCAGTTGCCCAACTAAGGAGGACAGAATGCAAAGCCCAGTGGCCTCCCTGACACTTTGCCCTCCGGCTCCCTCGCCACTGCCCACCTCCTACCCCGCCTTCACGCCTTGGAGAAGCTCAGACTCCATCCTCAGCTCCTCTTCTTTTGCTCTAGACTCTCTCCCCAGGGAGGAACTTCTGCTGATTTTTTTAAAGGAAACGATCTTTTTCGGCAGCCACCCTGGCCGTCTCCGACCGGAGTCTTTCTCGCCTTGGGCCCACACAGGCGTCGCCCTCTGCTGGAGATTCCCCGGGCTCCCGCTCAGCCCCGCTGGCTCAGAGCAGGCCGGCGCTGGAGGCCGCAGCACCCTCCGCCCCCTCACAGTGGCCAAAACCCTAGGCGGCTCCCACGACTACGTCTCTGCACTTTTGCGGAGGTGCCCACTGCTCCCGCTCATCGCCCCTGCATCCCGCAGAGTCGGCACAAGTCCGGTCACAAAACTGCTAAACAACATTTACGAGGAACAGTAATTTAAAGTGCAGTTTGGTATCACTGTAAAAAGGAGTGCATTTAACTGCTGGCTTATCTCCAGAGCGAGCTCTTTAAATACCTTTTTCTTTAGGCTTTGACGACGAGCTATACAATCTGTGGGCTTAGTGCAAAACGAAAATGTGGAGGCCCCTGTTCAGAAATCGGAGGAAAGTGCTCGACTGTGTGACAGCGCTGAATTCAACCAAGTGTGCAGCCCTTCCGGTCAGGGCCCTGTCCCGAAGCGGACTGTGTCCTTCTGTCCCTGCCTTGTCGCTGACACTCCTTTTCACTCTGCTTTGCCGGCTGGTTTTTTCTTTACCCCGCTCGCCTTCACTTTCTTTGGCTATGATCTTTGCCGGGTGATCTACTGGAGGCCCGTGCCTTCCAGATTTGCATCTCTAGCCTGGACCTGCGCTCTGAGCTGCAGGTGTCACACCCGGCAGCCCGGTGGACCTGCACGCGCCCGTCTAACAGGCATCGCAGACGTGACTCGGCCTGAGCAGAGCCCCTGGCCGCCCTCGCCCACTGCCTCCTGCCCCAGCTTCCCGTCGCGGGAAATCTTGCTCAGGGCCAAAACGTTAACTTGATTTTTCTCTGTCCCTCTTACTGCACCCTCAAAGCAAAGGAACTCCTTCAGCTTTCCCTCTAAGCTGACCCGTGAGCCTGATGAAATCTCTGGAACGCCCCCACCATCGTCCACGTGAGTCGTCGTCTTCTCTTTCTGGTACCACTGAAACAGCCTCCCAAACTCCATCTTTCTTGCCTCGCTCTTCTCAGTCCCTTTACTTCATAACCACCAAAGTGATCTTTCTAAGCTGTGGAAAAGAGCATATCACTCCTGACCCACAAGATTCCCCCCGGCCTGCTCCCCTGTCCTGACCTCACTGCCTCCGACTCCCGCTCACTCGTTGGATCCCAGCTCTGCTCGCCCTCCTCCTGCTCCTCTACCGTGCCAGCACAGCCCTCCGGGGCCTTTGCCGCTCGCACCCCTCTGCGCAGAGCGCTGTTCCCCAGCGCAGAGGGCCCCTGCACAGTCCTCCTGAGGCGCCTCCTGCAGAGACATCGGCCCCCAGCGCTCCCCTCCTCCCGACAGTCGCTCTGCGTGTTGTCCTGTTCCATTTCTTCATTGCACCAGCTGTCAACATCCATCCTCAGCTATTGCTTACATATTTCCCTCTCACACTCGCCAGTGATGATAATTACAGGTCTTGTTTTCCCCTGGACTTTGAGTTCCACCTCCTCAGGGCGGATGTCCAGCGGGCGTGAGGCCTCATCGCACTCAGGTGTTCCCCGTTTTATTGTCTCTCATTACAAATCCTTTTTTTTTTTTTTTAGGTTGTTTGGGCAGATAGTTACAAAGTTGGCTGTGCAGTACAATTTTGTCTTAAAGTTTCTGGCTTTGAAGGTCTTTCCAATGGAGCACATTTTATATGCAACTACGGACCAGCGTAAGTGCCCAAATCAACTTCTTTCTGAAAATGTTTTTAAAACCTATTTTAGAAGTATTTACCTTCATTATAGAAAATCTGGATAATAAAGAAAGTATAAAAAAGGAAATTACTACTCCTCTGCCCAGAGATCTACTCCATTAAGATTCTGGTACATTTTTCTTGGTTTGTGTGTTTGTGTGTGTGTATGCACACCCTTTGTGAACAACACATAAACACGCACGCACACACAGTTTTCAGAGTAGCAAAGACTAAAATGTTTTCAGGGACAGAGATTAATTGGATATGGTAATGATGTCACAAAATGGGAGGACTGATGTTACTTTATATTTATTGGTTTATTAAAAACTGGGCAAGTTTTACACAATTTTCAAAACAAAAATAACTCAATTGAATTCCTCAATTTATATAACTTATTTCATTTACTTTTGACAGTTTTGTTTTTGAAATAGATACAATTTTTCTCCTTTTGGAAAACAGGGAAGACACATGACATCCCCCAACTTTCCTAAACTTAGATATGTGTGCTTACACATCAGACACAAACTCAAAAACTGAGGTCATACTAGAAATACACGTTTTCTTTTTTCCTTTTTTTTTTTTTTGAGGAAGATTAGCCCTGAGCTAACATCTGCTGCCAATCCTCCTCTTTTTGCTGAGGTAGACTGGCCCTGAGCTAACATCCGTGCCCATCTTCCTCTACTTTATATGTGGGACGCCTACCACAGCATGGCTTGACAAGAGATGCCATGTCTGCACCCAGGATCCGAACTGGCGAACCCTGGGCTGCTGAGAAGCGGAACGTGTGCACTTAACCACTGCGCCACCGGGCCAGCCCCCAAAATTTTCTATTTTTACTTAAAAGTTATACCACGAGCATTTCACATTCGTTACAATTTCAGACATGATTTCAATGGTTATAAAAACAGGGGGAGATGATGCTTGTGTGATGCTTACCGCATGCCAAGCACTGTGCTAAGTGCTTCTCATGTAGTGACTGACCTAATCTTCATAGAAAGCCTGGGAGAGAGGTCGTGTTACTGCCTGTTATGCAGATAAGACAACTGAGGCCCCATCGGGGTGAGCAGCTGCCCTGGGCCCGCACTGGTGACGTCAGCTGGACAGCCACCTGGCTGGCCGCTCCCACGTCTGGGCTGATGCTCACACAAGCGCTCATCCTACTACAGAATTTAGATTGTTCCCTGTATTTCCTTTGAATATACGATGAACAACCCTGTATATAAGTCTCTGGTCACATTTATTTCCCTACAATTCCTGGAAATGGCACACTAAGTAAAAGGTGTGATCATTTTTAATCTTTTTCAATACTGATTGCCAAGTTATCCTCCACTGTTACTATATCAATTCATACCTCATCAGTACTATTATAATTTTCAGTATTTTCTAATTTGATAGAAAATGGTGTGTTTTCTTTAGCGTCTCTGACTACTAGTGAGGACACATTTCCACCGCTTACATTCCTGTTGGGAAGCATGCGGCCTGCTCATTTCTCCTAGAGTGACTTTCTCATTGGTTTATGGTAGTTGTTTCTATTTTAACCCTTTGTCATATATGTAACAGTTTTTTCTTCAATTCGTTGTGCTTGAATTTCGTTGGATTTTACCAATCTTCAGAATTCCTGGAGATTTGCCAGAAGCAGCCTCTCTTTCCCTGAAGTGATGTCCAGAGGAGCTTCCCGGGAGTCTGGCTGAGAGTGGGCGGGAGTGAGGGGACTACAATCAGGTGTTGTTCACAAGATAACAGCTTTGACTTAAAACCCCTGAGTCAGAAAGTAAGGGAAACCCAGGAAAAACTGGCCAAAGCCACAAGTCAATCAATGGGAACTTTTCATGACATTTCTATAGCTTAATGGTTAAGATACAGGCTCTTGAGGCCTACTACTTTAGTTCACTTACTGTGTGGCCTTGAGCAAGTTACTTAACCTCTCTGAATCTCAGTTTCCTCTCTAAAAGGTCAGGTTAACAATAGCACTTACTACTTATTGAGTAGCTATGAATATTACATGAGAAAGCTATGTTAAACACCAACTACATGCCATGCCTGGCAATGGTGGTGGTTTAAGAAGTATACATAATTATTATTATTGTAATAACGAAGTGCAAATGTGAATTCTCTTGGTTTAGACTCACTTTAATTGCCTTCAGAGTTATAAATAATATTAAGTTGTAAAACTTTAAAACCAGTTATAATGCATCTACAAAGATTGAGTAACATTCATTTATTCATACAAATAAATGCATCCATACATTCAATTATTTAACAAATATTTGTTCACTGAAATTCAAAGGGGCACAAGCCAGACACAGGTCCTGCCCTTATGGAACTTATAGTTATGGGGCAGACAGACAATAAAAATACAAATGAAATAACTCTGTTATGATGGGAGTGATGAAGGAAATACACATACACTGTAATGACACTATCGATAGGCAGGGCCCTCAGCTGAGGAAGAACAATCAGGGAAGGGCTTTCTGTGATGTATGGAAGCCCAGGCACGAGGGGCGAGGAGAACCAGACGCGTGAGGAGCTTTGGACACAGAGGTGGTGGAGGAAACGGCGGCAAAGCTCCTGTGGAGAGGCCTGCAGAAGGGACAGGGGTGCTCAGCCCACTGAACGGATGACACTAGGGGAAGGGAGGCAGCTGGGCTCTTGAGGGCTGTGCAGGCCAGTGCAAATTTCACTATCACATCACAGGAGGGAGCCATCCAAGTTTTAAAGCAAGGGAGTGACTGGACGTGCTTTAACTTTGGAGGTCATTCTGCAAGCAGCGTGGAGAATGGAGTGGAGGGCATGGCAGGGAGCAGAGACCAGTTAGGAATGTCCTCGCTCCCTTCTGCCTTCTGAGCTTGTTTTTCTTCTCCGTGCAAAGTCATAGGCCCCGATTCCATATAATTCTAAGAAGTCTGGTATCCGCCCCCGGTATTTCCTAGATTGGGAAGTGGGGGCTTCACTCCCCAGCCGCCTGGCCCTCAAGCCCTCAGCCCGTTTCCACTGCCCAGGAGTTTCAATCCCTCTCCTCCCGGCTGCGTCAGGTCTGTCGATCTGCATGATCCAAAGCACAGACAGTCTCTTCTTCATTCTCGGGGCCACCTAACAAGGCCACCCAGCGGATCTTCAGAGGAGTTGCTGGGAGAGGATACAGCACAGAGGGGAGGTAACGAGCTGGACAAGCACAGAGGACAGTACCCAGTGTACTTGGGCCAGCACTGCCTGGGGGCCCTTACTCATATTTCTCTCTTTCAAGATCTGTCTTTTCTCTTCCCCAGAGTCCCAGGGTCCCAGCCCTTTCTCTCTCAGGCCACGAGGGGAAACACTCAATCTTCCTGCTGTTTTATGGGGCAGAACCCTGCAGGCCCCTTTGTCTTCCTCACTCCCATCCAGACAACCCAGGCCTTTCTTGAAGTAGCAGTTTTTCCCTCTTCCTTATAGTTTGGAATGCACGATTAAGCAAAGAATGAAGCAGCATAAATGATGTTATTAAAAACATTCTAGAACTTAACCACTCAATGAGTATAGTGCTTGTTAACAATGAAAGATATTCCAATGATTAATGTCCATTTTGGACACCTTTTATAATTATCAGAATCTCAGCTATTCTCCTTTGACTATTTCCCATGATGTAGAGTAAGCACAAGGGTAAACTTAATTTCTGAAACAAGCTAAATTCATTTGGAGCCAAATGAGATTAGAACCTGTATTTTGGGTTGGAAATGAGGTGTTAACATAAAGTAATGTCTCTAAAGAAGTTCTTAACTTTGGAGGTAAGTGTATAGTATCAGGGAGGGGAGTCCGTGAACTTGGATTAAAAAAGTTACATCTTTATTTCCACTCACTTATATTGAAAGGAACATTTCATTCTGCGCGAAGATAACTCGCCAGTCGTACCAGCACCAGCCATCACTGTAAACATCACAGCTATTTTCATCTCACATTCCAGTTGCTGCCGGTATCTCAAAATATAGGTTTTATTCATCACTGCTTTGAAATTGCTGTAATTATTAGCTCCCTGCTAGGTCTTATTTAATACTTAATAGAGAAGCACATATTACCGTATCATAAATTTTTTAACATTTTGATAACTATTTTGATTTAATCAGCTTCCTTTATAATCCTACGAACTTAATGTATTTAAAAACTATTTTGAAAGGAGTCCACAGGCCCCACCAGGCTGCCAAAGGGTGCCGTGACAAAAAAGTTAAGAACTCCTTTCCAAAAGCACAGTTCTAAGAAAGATCAGTGCGGTGGCAGGTTCACTGAAATAAATCTGCAGCCTCTCATCATTACTCTCTGAAGGTATTCATGGGGGTATGAAATGTTTGGGATTATTTCACTTTCTAGTCTGTGATCTTGGTCAACTACTTACACTCTGTGCCTCAGCCTCTACCTATATAGTGGGGATAAGTATCTTCCTCATAGGATTATCATGATTAGTTCATTCATGCTTAGAACAGTGCCTGGCACATAAGGAGTTCTCAGTAATTATTGTCTATCATTCATATCACATCTTTGATGCGAAAACACTGCACTTTAGAAACTCCCTCATATCTGATTTTCTTTTGAAAGGCAGTTCCCCTACAAATGGCTCCTACCCAATAACACTGTGGACGTCTGCCAGACTGAGAGCAGATGTGGGTCCGACACCTTTTCTAAGATGGACAGTGTCTGGAAGACAGTAATCATATAGGCCAGACAGTAAGTAGAGGGGGCGAGGCCCTGGAGGCAGACCAACCTAGGTTTTGTTCTGACTCTGACACGTACACTGTGGTTTTTGACCAGTTACTTACTCTCTTAGAGCTGTACCTTCCTTATCTGTAAATAAAGATGACTTCTTCCCAGACTTGTCTTAAGAATTAAATGAGATGTAGATTAAGACATAGTTTCATAGGCACAGACACACAGAATGAACTCTGCAAACATTAACAGGCTTCCCTTTCTGCTTCTCTCTCTCCACTTCTCTTACCAACCCTCTGAATCTGTGGGCTTTCGTCCTATGGATTTAATCAAGGATTCATAGTAAATTGTAACTGCAAAAAAAAATCTTTCCTAATGGACAGCCTTCTTCTACTTTATAGAGGAAATTACTTTACTTGGCCATATAAGGAAGGATCCACTTGCAGTGCCTGCCCCAATAATGACGTCTGTTTGGATAATCTCTGTGGTGAGTAAAAGGAACAATCGACTGATAATATAATGTGTTCAAAACTATTTTAACTTTCTACAGAGTTAAGAATGCAAACATTTGTTTTATCCTCATAGCTATTTTTAGGGAGACTGGCATCAGGTAGCAGTCAAACCAATGGTTTACTTACCTACCTAGGAATGAATATGTTTAAGATAAATTTAAAGAAGCAAATGATATCCTTTTTATTTAGCTATTATCAGTACAACAAAAAATGACTATGATGTTGGAAACTGTAGACTCAAGATTTGATAATTTCATCAAGATCAAAAATTTGTATAACAAAGATATCCAAAAGAGCAGAATTCTCAATTTCGTGATACTACCTGTCCAGGGCACTCAAGGCTTGCATTTTCATCTGTAGAATTAAACAAATGAAATAAAGCTGCAATGTGGCATTTTTTATTAGCAAGACAGCATTCAATGAGAACAGTGTAGAAAGCCAATAAAGATAACTTTCCAAGGATGCTTCAGTGAACTTCCTATTAAAATTGTGTAATTTTGCAGTATTAATACATAACTGGCCAAGAGTTTATCTATGGTTCCTGTCCAGACACATTCCCCTTCCATCCCAGTATTTTAATTCCTGTTTTCTCATGGGGTAAAGAAGGGAAGCCTCGATTAAGCTATTAGTTGTGCAAATCCTATAAGTACTTTTGTGTTCACATCTGTAACCAAGTGAACTCCTGCGAGCTCCAGGGCTGGGGTAGGTACTTAGACCAGAGCGAGGATAGCGTGGACGGAGTTTCACTGCACATATCTTGTTTGGCAAGTGTTCCATTGCTTACATGTTTTCTAAGGTCCCTTCCAGGTCTAAAATTATAAAATTCTTTTAAACTGTTTGTTCCCTTCCTGATTTGTAAACACTGAATTCTCATCTTTACTCCAGATATGCAACACTTTTGACTAACTTTCCGAGCCAGTCATTTCTCTCCCAGTTCAACCATTCTTTATTTCACTCTTATCAGTTCTGAGAACTCGGTAACATAGCCATAACGCAAGGAATCTCTCCTCAGAGTATCGACATATTAACTCAAGTTCTCCTTTCATGTTGCTACAACACTACAAAGCATAGTATTATTTTTTCCAAGTTAAGCAGTATACAGTAACACAGGAGTTAAAACCAGAGGTTTTAGAAACAATGTGCTCGAGGTCAATTTCTAGTTCCACGCACTGACCTTGGGCAACTATCTGGACCTCTTTCCTCAACAATAAAATGCGGATGACAGTAACAGTACCTTTTCACAGGTGTGGTGAAACAAACCAAGGGAAAAAAAAGAAAGAAATGTTTATATTTAGAACAAGGGCCTGGCACACCATGGCACTGAACAAACATTATCTGTCCCCAAGTGCGTCCTACCTGTAATTCCAAATCTTGAGTTTACTCTTGATGTTTTGGTGTTCTCTTTATGCCCACATTTTTAGGTGGTATGTCTTTATGCCCATGAACAATCTTCACGATGCTTCTTTAAAATCAGTGATGAAAAGTGAGACAATCATTTTAAATTATTTGAAGAGTAATTTAATTGTTGCCACTGGTTAGCTGCCTTTCCCACTGGACTATAAATTACAAACAGGCAGGAATTATGCCTATTCAATTCTCCTTTGTATCCAAAGTGCCTACTCTGGCTGGCAAATAAGCACTAATTTGAATGCATGTTTCCTAGAAAAATCTTTCCTTCCCTTTAAAAATCTAGATTAAGTAGTAACACCACCACCACCACAATGACAACAGGGAGAAAAGTGCTGGAGTTTCAGCTTCTGATGTTGGAGATCTAACTTGAGATGGTCTCTAATCCTGTGGGATAAAATTCAGAAAATTAAAGCTGTAGTCCAACAGTGAAAAGCCCCTGGGCTCTTCAGACAGATAAAGGGAAACGCAGGCTGATTCGTGCGTAGGGTAAGGGTTAGAGGATATAGCTTTTGTTTAACAGAGTCCGTCTCCAACAAATCAGGGCAAACATTGGAGTGGACTTCTGGATACTGCTGGTAGTTCAACAAATACCCACAGAGGCCAAATCAGGGCAGTTCTGCAAACTATGCTGGGCATACAGACAGCACACCAGATGATTTTAGCTAGTACAGGGGTCGTGTTTCAATATTCAATAGTTGAAATATTTAACATTTTAAAAATATATACATAGGAAAAAATGTAACTAGCACATCACATCCTTGATTTTATAACTGCCAAGAAAAGCTAAAGCAGCAGCAGCAGCTTCATGCTAATTTACCATCAACAAAGCCCGAGCACACATATGATGATCAGGGATGCTCACAAGTACCCAGAGGGTCAGCTCCTTGATGATTCCACCACAGGAATCCAATAGCAGCTGGTGGAGAACTGATGAGGAAAAGACGTCTGACTCTTTTAATACAGTAGTATCAAGAAGGCTAAGGCAGATGTGCGATTTTCTTCCCAGTGCTCTGCATGTTAAAATCTGAAGAAAGGTCAGTGAAAGGAGAGGCATGATTATGACTCCATAGCCAAATGCCCTACTGACAAGGTACTGACGTACTGACGTACTGAAGATGTAAGGACGTACTGACGATGTAAGGACATACTGATAACGTAAGGACGTACTGACGATGTAAGGACGTACTGACAATGTAAGGACACACTGGGACAGGTGAGGGGGAGGCAGCTTTTTCTGTTACTGACTGATCATAAACAGTATCGTTCTTCTCAGGGAGGAAGTGATTTACAGGAAAATATTTAAATAAATTCCTCATACTATTACTAATTTTAATTATTTTTAAATTATATTTATTATCTGCTGGTTATGGTGTGTAAAATGATTTTCCATCTTTAGTGGTGGTATATAAATAGTTTATATAAAAAGTTGACATAAAAATATCAAGTTAGCACAGTTAATACAAAAAAATCTTGAATAATTAACCTGTGAAAACCACTGCAGTGAAGCCAAAGCCACAGGTAATGGTTATCGTTAGAGACTTGGCTTTTTAAAATAACAACAAAAGCCTCACCAGTGCCTACTCTTTTAATTTTTCTTTCTTCTGATTTTATAGCTAACCCACAGCGAGACAAAGTCACACGTATGTATATAAACCTTAAATTGTTTCATTAAGATCTACTGAATTATGTTACTGCATTCTGAGGAACAGCATTTAAGAGGATATCTTATGTTTACTTCACAGATTACTACTCTACCGTGTATCCAGACTGGCCGCTATATTCACGTAACAGATACCTCTCTCTCTTTCTCATCGTTAGTCCGCCAATTCTATTACTCAGTGTTATAATTACCATTTGGGTCAAGCACAGATACCCTCATATTTAGTTGTTGAACTCATACAATCCAGAAAAAAAAAATAAACATTCATATGGCTCTTTAAAAGATAACTGGGTTCAATTCAAATTTTAAAACATTTCAGAAAAAAAATGTTGTTGCAATAAACCTTTGATCAAAAGAAACTATTCAACTTCCTAAATCTATAGGATAAACTCATCTTTACTGTCTACTCTTCTGTGAAATGACCATTGTTTTCAGGCTGCCACAGGTGACTGTCAGTACGTAACCCAGTCCCTGTGTGCCTCAGCTTCTCAATCTGTAAGATGAGCAAGCTAGCTGCGGGTGATTCCCAATAACCCCCAGGCCCTCATCAGTAAACACAGTTCTGCCTCACTGGGAGCGTGCTGCTTCAACTCTGCATACCTGCTTTTCCCCACTCTCCTGCAATTTGATATGCTTCTGGTTTACCACTTCCTCAGACTCAATAGAAAAGGCATTAAGGATTTGAGCTAAGAGGCCTTGCTTTTTGCTTACCGGTTATTTCATCTTGGAACGAAACATAAAATGAGATTATAAAAAGGAATATGCCTAAATGTTTACTGTTATCATTAGAGAGCACATTGAAAAATCTGCATTTATTTTCCTCAAAACAAATGCTGAGACATGATTTAAAGACTAACGAATGGCATGAGACACTGGATTTGATGGCTAATTACAATAGCCACATTCCAAAAAATATTTATATAAACCACCTAAAGAGTTAATCCTAAAATCATGCTTAGGCAAAACCCACCTGGAACAGATTAGATGCAAAATATACAAAGGCATATATACCACTTTCTACTATAAAATTTTTCAAAAAACACATCAAGAATACAATAATTTATGTTTATAAAGAACAGCTGTTTATATAAACACTTTTCTAAAAAATAAACTCAGAAAAAAAATCATCAGAGTATACTCATCAGATAAGGCAACTAATGCCCTAGTATCTCAAAATCCTTTACAAAAGAAGAAAGCTTATTAAGTTTTAGTTCAGTTTTTTTTCTGTATGTTACTTTTTCTTCTTTTTCTTTTCATCTGCTTCCATTTTAAGCTTAACTTCTTCAGCTGTAAGAGCTCCCAGCTTCTTATTCTTTGCTTTCTTAACTTTTTCCTTGATGGCAGCCACATCAATTTTAGTTTCAGTAGAAGCTAGACAAATTAAGAACACAATGTCTGTAATTACTTAGATTTTACCCAATAAAACATAACATATTTTAGGGCAATAATTTCAGAGTACTGTTATAAACTGAAAGGTCATGTTATAAAATATAAAACACCTGCCTGAGGGAAAGTTAGAAATTTCTTCAAACTAAGAGAAATCATAAAGTACTTAAAAAATACATTCGTGAAAGTATACATGAAAACGGCATTATAGTTTAGCTATTTGAACTAATTACTAGATTCAACTATATTAAAACTACATTTTTTCCTTAAATTATACTTGAGATTAGATTTTTACTCTCTTGTATTTTAAAACTTTAGTGCATTCATTAATATGCCAATTTTCCATCTTGCACATTAAAATAATTGAAAATTACATTTCATGAAGAATATTACATATTGTCCTTCTAGCTTCAATAATTTTTAACTAATCATGAAGCTATATGCAACATCTACTTCATCTAAAACCACAAATAAAAATTTAAAAATAAAGTTTTCCAAATATTAGTTCAATGAATGACTAGTAGTATTTTATTTAACAAGATTTTGGTAATAAAAATAATAATGAGAGTATCTGGAGGTCCTCCTCCTAACAGAACCCAACCATCTAATCAATCAAGGCCAAAAGCTTGAACAAAATAGAGAAAGGAGGGGCTGGCCCAGTGGCGCAGCAGTTAAGTGTACATGTTCCATTTTGGCCGCCTGGTGTTTGCTGGTTCAGATCCCGGTGTGGACATGGCACCGCGTGGCAAGCCATGCTGTGGTGGGCATCCCACATATAAAGTAGAGAAAGACTGGCATGGATATTAGCTCAGGGCCAGTCTTCCTCAGCAAAAAGAGGAGGATTGGCAGCAGATGTTAGCTCAGGGCTAATCTTCCTCAAAAAAAAAGAAAGGAAGCAGAGAAAAAAATGCAACTTTCTCTTAGCTTTTAAAGAACAGTATTCAGAGCATAAAAGTATCACAAGATCAAATGTCATCAGACAAACTACCCAGCAAGGTGAGGGGCAGAGATCTGAAGTCTCCACTATAGTGGAACAGCTACATTTTTAATCATTAGAAACTGAGATTATTTTTTATTTTATTGAGGTATAACTGACATAATCTTATATACTAGTTTCAGGTATACAACATAATGATTCGATATTTGTATATATTATGAAATGATCACCACAATAAGTTAACATCCATCACTGTCTTTTTTTCTCATGATGAGGACTTTTAAGATCTACTCTTAGCAACTTTCAAATATGCCATACGGTATTACTAACTAGTCACCATGCTGTACATCCCCTCCCAGGACTCCTTTATTTTATAACTGGAATTTTATACCTTTTCGCTCCCATCACATATTTCTCCCACCCTTCATCCTCCTCCTCCGGCCACCACCACTCTGACCAATCTGTTCTATCTGTAAGCTCGTTTGTTTTTTTAAGATTCCACATATGCAAGTGAAATCATACAGTGTTTGTCTTTCTCTGACTTCCTTCACTTAGCATAATGCCCACGTTGTTGCATCCATGTTGTCGCATATTCAGCCATTAAAAAGAAGGAAATCTTGCTCTTTGTGATACACTGAATTAAACCACCTACTGAATAACCTTCAAAGTACACAAGTGACAGATTGTACAAACTGGAAATTATAATGCTGAAAACATTTTTAACTTTCACATAACCAATGATCTACAAAGTAAAACAGTATTTTTAAAGCTGTTATCACTGATGTAACCTAAGATACTAAAAGAGTAATGTTGCACCCAGCTTTGACCAACAGGTCATGTGCAGTGCTGCAGCACTGACCCCTCCCCTCACTGTGCACTGGCCACTTGGGAGAGTTACCTTAGGAACAGGACAAGTCTCATTAGTGGGAAAGAGCATGCAAAAGAGGGGCGGATAGATCAAAATGAGGCCAGGGGAGAAGAAAAGGCACAAGTGCCTTTTTAAAAAGCCCCTGAAGAAGACCTTCCTGATATCTTGTTGGTGTCCTTCAGCCCACGGCGATGAGAAATCCATGTTGACCACAGAGGACGCAAACTTGAAGCCACAGATCACACAGGCAAAGAGAAGAAAAGCACCACTTCCGAGCAGGTGTCGGAGAGGAAGGAGAGCAGAGCGCAGGGCCCTCCCTGCTCTACGTTTATTTTCACAGGAGTCACCGCTCTGGCTTCTCTCTTTCACAACAAAGGGTCCTTCCCCAGCACAACCGGAGGTCAGGAGAGGACTGTCAATCTAGGATCTCTTAAGCAGGCATTAGCTGCTCCTAATTTATACATGACCTCATTGTCTCTTATCCCTAGGGTTAGTTACTAATGACGTGCTAAGAGAACTGATGGAAGATAAGGTCATTTCTTTACTGAACACTCAAAGAGATTCAGACAAATTCCCTATGAGTTTGCTCTTCAGATAACAGACTTTCACATCATACCAAGTGTTGGAAAACAAGCATTACCTTCCTTCGGTTTCACAACTGGTTTCTCTTTAGGTGGAATAAAAGCTTTCTTTCTTTCCTCTTGCCTCTTACTGAGCGCTTCTGCTTGTTTAGCCTACATTATTAATACAAATACATTAGTAAAACACAATTTATAGGTAAGCAGGAATTCAGTTTCTCTGACGTTTGCTATTAATGTTGTGAGTGACAGTCTTACCTTCACTGCTTCCATTTTCTGTCGCTTCTTCTGACTTGCCTTCAGAAAGTATTCACCACTAGCCAATTCTTTATCGATCTGTTGAAATTGGTATTTACAATTACATCAGAATAATACAGATGAGAAGTCATTTCCTAAGAAAGTTACAATGTCCTTGAGGTAGACAATGGGGTCAAAAATCCATGATTAATTTGTAAAGGAAGCAACATAAAAAAAAGAAAATGTACTCTAAGCTGAGGGGAATGCAGGCACAAAAACATGGAGGTAGGAAAGTAGGTGATATGTTCACAGAATACACAACAGACAGCCTTGGGTGGTGTGGAAGGTCAATGACCCAGAAAAGTGTGAAAGGAAACTGGAAAGATAGTGTTGGGGAAGCTTAAAGAAACTTGAATGCCAGGCAAAGGAGGTGAGATGATTAGAAATGACTTGAAGGGTTCTGAGAGTGAAGAGACCAAAGCAGCATTTTCTAAGGTACAGAAGAATGGAGAAGAAATGAAAGCTTGGGATAAACGTAGCAGCAGACAAAATGAAAAACAAGAATTGTCAGGATTTGGTGACTAATTAAATACTAATGAGAGAAAGCTCCAGCTCAATCATTCAATATATACTCCACATATATAAGTGATCTATCTCACTTACATAGCATTATTATATCTAAGGCAGCATTCTAAACGCTTTACAGTTACTAAGCTCTTTACAATCACTAATCCATTTTATCCTCATTAACAATTCTTTGAGATATGTATTATCATTATCCCCAGTTAATGTACAGGGAAACTGAGACATGGATGGGTTAAATAAATTTCCCATAGTCACAGAGCAAATAAGTGGCAGAATAAGTCAACTCAGACATCACCATTTCAAGCAGCTTATAGTCGCAGGGAAGAAAGATAGGACAGTGACTAACTACAGGACAGGGCCCTAAGAAGTGTGGCAGGTGTCGGGGAAGCATGGGTCAGTAACTGGATCACCCCACTTTACTATCAGTTTCTTTCCGGCTTCACTTTCATCCTTTTCCAGTGTAGACTCATGATCCAAAACTTGCGTTGTTTTTTCACCATGATAATCATCATGCCTTTTTTCCCTTTGACCTTTCATCGAACCTTCCCTGAAAAACTCCAAACAAAGGCTGTGGAGAAGACTAGACAGTACACAGAAAGGGATGGATTTATATGCTGAGCCAAAGAACTAGGAAAAAGGGAAGACTTTAAGATACATCCAAGGCAGGGAATAACGATGCAAGATCCCTCAGGAAACAGGTGAAAACAGAATTCAAAGAACAGGTTAAGAAAGGATTAATGCAGATGGAAAAAACAGCTAAAGGTGAGAGAAGAGGAAGTTGAAGGAGTTCCCGCCTGATGGTCTTAACTATTTCAGTAAAATAAACTGCACTGTCATCTGCTAGGAGTGGGAGGGTGCCTAAAGAATTAAGAGGATACAGAGAACTGCCAGACAGTCCTGAAGACCTATGTGAGTTGAGAAACCTGAATTTAGAGTAGATAGAATCCAAAGATCTGACTTTCTCCAGCTGTCTGGTAGCCACACTACGGGAAGAAGTCGACTTCTAGGACTGATCCACATTGGAGGAACGAGGCTAAAGCACAGTAGAGTACTGTGGGCTAAGTCACTGGATTTTTCATCCATGGAACATTTACAGTGGCCATAGACACAAGTGACACCAACCACCTTGTAGTTTACACTCACAATGTAAAGCCCCCAATCCCCACCCCATGGACTTGGCTCAAAATAAGCCTATTTACACCTACCTTCAGTTTCTTCTCTCTCTACACACCCAAACACATACACAGAAATTCCACCTAAAATACCCTCAATAAAGTTTCTGACAAAATAGATTATAATGGTTTCCCCTCACATAAAGAAATTCAGCATTTAATACTGACCTGACTTTCTGGCTGTGGTGGTGGGAATGGTGTATACTCTTTCTTAACAGTTTTTTTCTTCGGTTCCTTGCGTTTATTCACATTTTTGTGCTTGAACTGTGGCAAAAATCTTTCCCAACTTTGTGATCTTAATTCAGAATCTTTTGCCAACTCTCGTTTAATCATTAAGGTCTTTAGTCATGGCAATATAGGAACAAAGTAAAAGTTTTTAATTTCAAAATTCATATATTTCTCAAACTAAGACATTACAAATATTGTTCCTATAAATAATAAAATTAAAAGAAGGAACAGTTCTCAGTCTCTTCAGTAGGAGTAAACCAATTCCATAAAGAAAAAATATGTAATCTCAAACATGCATAATTAACCAAGCATCAGAAAACCATCAGAAATTTAGATTAAGAAATGCAGCATTGAGGGGCTGGCCCCGTGGCCGAGTGGTTAAGTTCGCGCGCTCTGCTGCAGACGGCCCAGTGTTTCGTCGGTTCGAATCCTGGGCGCGGACATGGCACTGCTCGTCAGACCACGCTGAGGCAGCGTCCCACATGCCACAACTAGAGGAACCCACAACGAAGAATACACAACTATGTACCGGGGGGCTTTGGGGAGAAAAAGGAAAAAATAAAATCTTTAAAAAAAAAAAAAAAAAAAAAAAAAAAAAAAGAAATGCAGCATTGATAAATAAATTGAGATGAAAATGAGACTAATTCAGCTTTTCAAACATTATTTCCTGAAAATCTTCAAAATTCAACTTAGTAACAGCAGGGAGAGCTCTTAATTAGCAGTGTTCCCTGCAAGCAGGAAGCTTTTGGGAGCACTTGAAATATCACAGGGAAAGAAAAAAGTAAATTTTCTCAAGCTCAGACAAAACCAATATTCTCACATTTCCCCCACACCAGGTGAATTTTACAGACACTGGAACATCAGAGGATGCAAACCAGGCATCAGATACAAAACTAGCTCTCACCTTTAATGTCCCAATGTAACTCAAAATTCTTCTTTTACCCCAATATGAGTGACTTTTTAACTCAACTTCATCAAATTTAAGTGGACTGCTTAACAAATTCCCATCATAAAACAGCTCACGCTACCATGGTTACATTCCCAAGTACCATCAGGAGCTCTGTGCACACAGGGATATAACAGATCTCTCTCTGAGTCTATAATTTGAGCGTTAAATTCCAAAAAAGGTTTTAATGCACTCTGAAATAGTCTATACTTTATCTAATAGAAAAACACAATTCTGAAAGATCACATCTTCAAATACAGTATATGGGCTCATAATTTAAGAAAACTGGATTGATGTCATCGATGACAAATTCTATGAAACATTTTCTTTGCATTAAAACTGTATAATACATTACAGTGTCCCCTTCAATAGTTTTCAAACTGTATTCCACAGAGGCCCAAGGTTCCAAGGATCTAACTACAGGACTAGGGTAGAGTTGAGTGGGCTGAAGTCTAATTTATCCAAATATAGCTCTGCTTTATTTGTTTTGTATATCAGACTTTCATAAAAGATATAATTTCAAGAAATATTTCTGTAGCTAAAAGAAATTTGACCACCACTGTTACAGTAATCCATAATCAACACTCACTTTAATGTTATAGATTGGATGAATATTCTTCATTGTATCTAGGACTACTTTTCGAACCTGAAATTTGCAAAGAAAAATGAATCATTTATAAAGATTTAATAAACTAGATAAAAGGAAATTAATATATTACAACATACGCTGTGAGGCAGGCAATGGTTACCAAATTGAATATAACAGTTCCTTTAACTGCTCTGAGTGACTTCTAGATCTTTCATAATAGTCAACCTCCCTCGAATGCAATGAAGTCTGCCAACTTTACTGCTAAAATGTGGTACACAGAACTAACACAACACTTCGGAGCTGTGCAACTTAGGGGAAAGGGGCTGGATTTAGAGTCAGAAAACGTGGGCTCAAATAATTGGACTGCAGCTTCACATGGCAAAGTCACTTAATTTTCCTGTTTCAGCTTTGTCATTTGTTATATGGAAATAAAACTACCTCAAGGGTCTGTTGTAAGAATTAAATAAGATAACATATTTAGACTTTACAAAACTATAAAGTATTCAATGTATTTAAATTATTACTGTCCCACGAGAAAAGGGAAGATAACTTATGAGAAAGAAGTACAAGAGAATTACTACCAAAGGCCCTGGAAAGGAAGCAAGACCTCACAGCCAGATCCGGACAACAGCAGCGCCAAAGGGAGTTAACAGAGACAGTATCTGCTCCACAGATTTTCTCGTGACACTTAAGTTAAAGAAAATGTTCATAAGTACATTAAACACTGCACTAAAATTCAAACAAAAGAAAATACATCTTAAAGGAAAAGAAGATTTCAGAGTCTGACCTCTACTGGTTCTATACGTTACTGCAAATAACAAGATCTCTCCAACTCTCCGATCGTTTGAGCACACCTAACTACATCATGTGTCTCATATGCGCTGCACACTAAGATCTTACACACCCATTTAAAATGTGTAGTGGAAGGAGTGATGACGGGCAGACCTTCTAATTCAAACCTGGACGCCTCTGTAGTGACCAAAGGTTGCCCATAATAGGGTCCTGGAGTGATGATTCCCTCAAATTACATGAAGTACAAAGTATTTACTAATGGGAAATCAAACCAAGCACATTCCAAATAAACAAAATAATTATAAAACAATACATTATCCAATGAACCATTATATTATAACCAAATTATTTCATTCGTTCTCTGCTAAAAACTAACTGAAGATAGTAAATAGTTCTCACCTCTTTTAAGCCATTAAAAGGTCCAATGGCTGAAACTGTGTTTCCCTGAACCATAATGTAACAGTTTGTTAAGAGTTCCAACGCCTATATCAAAAGGACAATAGGGTGAAATTCAGTACACTGAAAAACTAATGATAGAGAAAGACATTCAAGTAGTCCGCTGATAAAAAGTACCTTCAATGTAGACCCTTTGGGACCGATGAGCCGTTGTCTTCTTTTAACAAATCTTTCTTTATTTCTTACTAAAGAACCTATTTTAATGATGTCACATGCGACATCATCCTGAAGAATTCGTACTGCCTTTTGGGAAAATAAGGAAAATACTAAATCAATATTCTTTACAAATACATTCTTTTCAGAGCCCAGGTTAATGATATCTAAGCAGAAAAATGAAAACTCTATGGAGGGAGAAAAAGAGGGAGGGAGGGGTGCAGTGTTATATGCTCTCTAATGTTTATGCAAATAAAGCAAAGTCTCTGTAATTCTAAATTTACCTGTTCAAATGAAACACTCCTTGCTAATAGTTTTATGAGGTCTCTGGCCCTAATGATGATATATGGATCAAAGGTCTTCTTTGTTGTACAAACAGTCATGCTGCCCTCGATCAGGTCCAGGGTTGCATTAACGTGCTACACACAGGAAAGAGAAAAGAAGCAGCTGTCTAAAAATGGATGCAATGTTAGATAATTACAGAGCCTAACCTATCAAACTATTAATCACTGTGAATTAAGCTCTCTCAAATTCTATCAACTTCCTCCTTGAATAAGCTGGGAAGTTAATATAAATAATGAATACTTGATTACTTTCATACTTCAAAGAATACAGAAAGTCAAGCAATTGAAGCCATTTACACTTACCTGGCTTTAGAATATGTTGTACTTATTGGAATACAGGTTATCTGCAGTTTAAAAACTATAAATAAATCCAAATGAGGCTATACTTAATACCAAAATAAAAATGTAAACCTATATACAGTATAAATAGATACATAATACAGTATCAAAAGGATAAGAGAGAATGATGAAAATGCATTCAGAATAAAGGAAATCCAAAATAAGGATATTTGGTGTCTCTGAAGAGAATATGACAAATGGAATAGGAAAAAAAATTTTAAATTGTAACACTAGGACATTTTACTGAAATAAAGGCAAACTTCAATTTACAGACTGAAAGAACACATCACTTCAGGAAAAGTTGGTACTGACTGCTGAGCACTGAAACACATTCAGCGTTAATCGACTTCAAAGACAAAAAAAATTCTACGGGCATCTAGACAAAATCAAGTCATCTATTGGAGGAAGATTCACTCTGGTATTAAGACTTCCTCATACAAAAAAAGAAAAAAGAAAGTAAAGCTACATAGCTTCCCTATCCTGGAGCCAGCTCTCATCCACCATCTGCTCCCTAAGACTGAGAACGGACTTTCCCTTTCAATCCTTTTTCTAGTTTGGTTTGTATTAGCTAAATACAAAGTAAAAACAAATGATCACAGGTTCAGAAAGAAGCAGTAATTGACTGGAAAATTATGCATTAAGTATTAATAGGAAGAACCAGATAGCAACAAAACAAACAAAAACGCTGTTTTCTGTCTTACGAGCATAATCTGAAGACTATTTCAACATAGTGAGTGATGAACAATTCAACATAAGGTTGGGTCTCTATGAGTTAACAACAAAGAGAGTCCAGTCACAGGTGTAGACAGCTGTAAGACAGAGCCTGCAGTTTGCTGACCCACTCTCATACCCAACGGGCACAAACAACTCCAGACCGGTCCCATAGTTGAGAAAGGCATTTTATGTCACAATCTAGTAGACAGACACACACACAGAAATGAAACAAAAGCTTCATGAAAATGATACTTACCCTTACCACATGTAATAGTCACTTGTATGTAAGGCTCATTATATCCACTAACTTGACTTATTGATCCACTAATAGGTTTCAATCCATAGTTTGAAAAACAAAAACAAATACACTGCTCTAGAAGGATGGCAGCAGCAACAAATATGGGAAAGTTGGCCACATCTACACCTTTCATTTAAAAATTAAATGAAAATTAAGCAATTTGTCAAGAACATGCCTCAAATCAAACTGTCTAGGTACAGTGTAACTACCATAGCAAAGAGCAGACACTCTGAAACTTGGGAGTTCACAGGTGAGTCTCAGACAGTCCATGAAATCCCCAAAATTTTAAACGTATGTGAATTTTTCAAAGTAATCTGTTATTCCCAAAATTAAAAACAAATGGATAAGAACAAAGTTTATCTAGGCTGTTTAAAATACAAAAGGAACCAAATTAACCAGTTATGCTAGCAGCTTAAAAAAAAATCCATCAGCACACACTTACTTAAAAGGCAAGGTATAAGAAAGCAAAATCTCAAAGAAATATATAAAATATGCATACATGTTCATTCAAGGCTTTCTGAACCAACGGCCAGCAATCTTTCAAGTAAGCCTCTCTATATTTTGGGAACAAAGTTGCAAAACTGCTCTCCTCTAGGAGTCCTCTGGGATTGTCCTCTCTGGAAAAAGCGGGTTCCTTCCAACCGTCAGGAACAGTGAGGAGTTCGGATTCATCTAGAGAGGGGAGAACATTTACACATCAGATTTCAACCTCCTTTTGGACACTTTCTGAACACATATGCTTATATTTACAAGCTTCCCAATACCCTCCTTACAATTCCTCATCCCACGCTTCTTAGATTATTTAACAAAGGACACACCTCTCATTATCATCAACACACTGTATTAAAATTATCTGTATACACTCCTGTCCCCTCATAAGACAAAGTTCCTTAAGGGCAGGGACTCTCCCTGGATCCACACCAATTAGCATTCGCCTGACAGACAGTGGGTACTCAAATTTCTATTGTACTACACTACCTTAGAGTTGAAAATTCTAATACCATTTTGTTTACAGGCCCATTTTAAATATAAGTAACCTTTCAGACTTTCCTCAAGTGGAGCCTAGGTATGTGTGTGTGTATATATTTGTGCATGGGTGTGCACAGGCACACGCATGCACAAAACTTTTAAAAGCCGAAATTCGGGTGTATACTTTCAGTTAATAATCACTGATATTGGGTTTCAGGTTTTCCAAAGAGTTTTCACATGCTTTATTTCTGTATACTTTTCATGATAACCATGAAAAGTGGAAAGAACCAGTATTATTTTTCCCATTTTATAAAAGACATTCCAAGAAGATTAGTGACTTGCCTAAGGGGACACAAAAGTGACTCAGTCCAGGTCTCCTTTCATTAAAACAAAATGCCTCCTAAGGGCTACAAATTACCTCCCACATAATTTATTACAACTTCTGGTCCTGGATTTAAGGAACCTCCAACAGCTAGACTTTAATTCAGTACCACTCAAAGATAGGATCCACTGGCCTGCAGCATCAGCATCAACTGGGAGTTTGTTAGAAATGCAATTCTTCAGCTCCGGCCCAGGCCTACTGAGTTGGAATCTCTGGGATGAGGCTGAAGAATCTTGTTTTAACAATCTCATCAGGAGATCCCTATGCACAGTGAAGTCTGAAAAACGGGTCTTTATGGCCCATATTATCTACTCCAGTCAGGTAAAATCGCTTTCCGGTTCTGATACTCATATCCACTTTGCTATCTGTCCTTCAAATCACAGCGGATTAGCCAGTCCTCATATACCATTCACTTCCCAATATCCTAAAAAACTCAAATTCTACAATGGGGGTACTTAAAATGCATATCTGACCAAGTCCCTATCCAATTTAAACACTTCAATGGCTAGGAATTTTTTTAAAAAGCAACAAAGTGGCAAAAGAAATACAGAGGAGTTTCACAATAGGTACAAATAGCCCCATTTTCAAACACGTGAAAAGATATGCAACCTCATTAGTAACAAGGAAAGTCTGAACTAAAACCCCAAAGAGACACCATTTCATACTAACCAAACGACAGAAATTCAAAATAGGGACAATTCCAAGTCTCAGTGTGGACGTAGAGCAATGAAAACTCTCACCCACTGCTCGTGGGAGCGTAAACGGGCACCAACCCCTTTGGGAAAGCCTGCACACTACCCCCACATACCCTGCACTTCAAGGATTCCAATGCATGTACATAACCTCCAAAAACTCTTGAACGTGTAAACCAGGACATATCTACAAAGATGTTTATAGCAGCAAACAACGGCAACCACCCAAAAGTCGGCAGCGTAGAATGAAAATATAAATTAGCGTACATTCACACAAAGGAACATCACACAGAAGTGAAAAGAATAAACTACAGCTGCAAGTATCACCCTGGTTGAATAACAAAAACAAAGACAAACCTAAGAAGCAAGACGTAGAAAAATGCCTACACACCTCTTTCATTCCTATAAAATTCAAAAACAGACAAATCCCAACCATTTTGTGCGTGGGTGGTAAAGATTATGAAGAAAGAGAACAGAATAACCGACACGATTCAGAACTGTTCCTTTACGTCCCGGGAAGGACAGAATCCGACCCGAGAGGCGCCCGCAGGGGGCGGGGCGCTCGACCCGGCTGAAGGCTCTCCGCGCGCCGCCCTCCCGCGTGGTTTTCTTCCTTAAGCTGCACCGCTCTGAACGTCACATAATTAACAACAACAACACACCTACAGCTGTGCTGCCCACAGGGTGAGAGCTCAAGGCAAAATACTTGCAGTAAGCCTGGCTGCTCAGACCCCGGGCTATTTCTCCAGCCTCAGTCTACAGAGCAGGAGCTGAGTCGTCCGACATCTGAGCAACCTGACAAACAGGGATCATGCAAACGTTCCAAATATCTCCCCGAGCTGACAAACACGCCAGGCGCCGCGCCGCCCCCGGCCTGTGTCGCTCCTTCCGCGCCAGAGTTCACTGCCGTCCGCCCCGGCCCCCTCCTCCCGCCCGACGTCAGCCCCGGCCGCCGGCGCCCCCCGCGATCTCCGCATGCCCAGCCTTTCCAGAGGGAGGAGTCCGCAACGCCTTCGCTCGGGGGGCTCCGGCGAGAGCAGCCCGTTAGGAACACGTGGCCGGCCCCATCCCCGGACGGTCCCGCAGGTCCAGCCAACGCCCCCGGCGTCAGCAAGGACCTAACTCAACCTCACATAACGGCCCCCTGCGGCATGCGCGTCCCCAGCCAGCCAAAGGACAGTCCCATCCACACCCAGACCCAGGCTTCGCTTCTTGCACGCCTCACCTCGGTCCTCCGGCTTCGCATTCTGCCTCCGAGACTCACTTTTCCCAGCCGCCCTGTCCGGCCCGTCCAGTGAGGAGGACGCCATCTTCAAATTGCTTCCCGGGTTACCGGAAATGGAACGGTTCTTAAATACTACCGGATTCTAATCCTAAAAATCCCTCTACTCAAAAGGAGTTCCGCAGAACTCAGACGGGCAGATGTGCGCAGTCTCCGTGGCACGTACGCCAGAGCCCGGGGAGTTGCTCAATACAGCGCTTCTCCTGCGTGGCCAATGGAGAGCCGGAGACTTGTCTTCCCGAAGGCGCTGCAACTGCGGCGTGGGACTGCATGCTGGGAATTGTAGTTCCGCACTGTGGGTAAGTTGGAGGCTGTCCGACTTGGAGTTTTCTCGTGGGCCCAGTGTCTAACCTGGGACGCCTGACTCCAGGGTTTGGCCACAGGATGCAGCCGTCATTGATGTTACCTATTTATTCGTTCGATAAATATTTATATGATCATCAAATAAGTGCTAGGCGTTGGCAGGAGGTGCAAATATGGGAATATATGGTCTTGAACAGCAGGAAATGACGGTAATAGCTACCATTTATTGTGAGACTACTTTGTGCCCGCCACTTTATTTACATTTCTAATCCTTAAAACAAAGTTAAAACAAATCTCTCCAAGGTTGATACTATTTTGGAAGGGAAGTTTTCAAAGTTCTTGTTTTTGACGGTAATTTTCTAGGGTCTTGGTATTTCTCTTTCTAAGCCAGAGGGATAGTAATTAAGCTACAGTTCTGAAGTATTTCACCTAGCCTAAGATTTCCCAAAATGACTAACTCCTGTCTACCCCAACACTGCATATGGCTGACTTCAGGGGGTGAAGTTCAGCGCTACTATGAATCTTTACACTTCTGGGAATCCAAATGTTCTTAGATGTGCTAAAGGTAAGACTTCTTTTGATGATTGGTCTTATTGCTTGCCTTTTCTAAAATTTCCTGCAGCACAAATAGGGAAAGTCTTTGACAGGTTGAATTCCGTGTATTAGTGAAAAGAAGAACGTTGATCTGAAATCCATCCTTGGGTATCTTCTGTAAAAATTTAGATTTTCATATATGAGGTACATGTATAAAATGGACTGTTTCTTAGGGAAAGAAGATCCCAAGACACATGATTATGTTAAGATTTTTCTTTTATCCTGTCTTATAAATGACAGTGATTCCATTCCTATATTCTTAACAGTTTGCTCAAAAAGCAATGACAAATGCCTTTAATAGGACAAGTAACAACAGGTGAAAGTTAAAAAGTGAGAAGCAGTTCCTTCAATGTTCCCAGAACCCTAGGAAGCAGAGTTTTATTATCCTTATTTTGAGGAACTCAGTCATTAGTAAGTGGTGAGCTAGACTTCAAGTGCAGACAGTCTGACCATTAACACCTCTAGGAAGGCTACTATACTAAGGATTCGTTGTTGCAAATGTGTCCAAGGAGAGCTGGGTTTTCAGCCTCATACTTTTAGACTTCAGCAGCAGCATCAACCCTTCTCTGGGTCTCCAGGCTGCTGGCCCACTGGGTAGATTTTGGACTTGCCAGGCCTCCATATATATAAATGTGTATTTTATTTCTCTGGCAAACTTTGACTGATACAGCAGTTTATAGTAGAGTAAATCCAAATGGTTGATGAACATATGATAGTCAACTTTACTATCGTCAAAAAAGCATATAGGGGGGCTGGCCCCGTGGCCGAGTGGTTAAGTTCACGCGCTCCGCTGGAGGTGGCCCAGTGTTTCGTTAGTTCGAATCCTGGGCGCAGACATGGCACTGCTCATCAGACCATGCTGAGGCAGCGTCCCACATGCCACAACTAGAAGAACCCACAACGAAGAATACACAACTATGTACCGGGGGAGCTTTGGGGAGAAAAAGGAAAAAATAAAATCTTTAAAAAAAAAAAAAAGCATATAGACATAACAATGAAATATTACTTCTCACTCACCATATTGGCAAAAAACGAAGTAATAAAAACATATTTTTAAAATGATAATCTACTGGAGGAAAGGGAACTATCATACACTGCTGGTGGAAATGTAAACTGTTACTGCCTTTGTGCAAACAATCTATCAATGTAAAATATACACATATTCTTCCACAGTAATTCCACTCCTGGGAAACTGTCAGCTAGAAATAAAGCACCATTCCGTTACGATGTAAGTACAGCTATGTGGATGACTGCCTGTACAGAACTGGTTCAGTGAAAGGTACTTTGGAGCCACTGCTGGTACTTTGGTTTGCCAGTTACTGGCTATATAGCTTTGCGCAAGTTTCTTACCGACCCCTGTTCAGTTGCCTACAATGGGGAGAATAGCCTTAACTCGGTGACTTTATACATGTAAAATGCTAAAAAAAGATACTTTGCATGTGGTACTCACTCAATAGGTGCTAGCTCTTATTTTTTTATAATGACAAAAAAGTGAAAGCGTCTTGGCTATCAATTTGGGATATAGTTAAATAAATTGATGTTACCTTCATAACTGTGAGATATTATGCAATCATTCATAAGAATTAATTAAATCTATGTGGAAGAGATAACTAAGGCATTGAGTGATAAAAGCCAGATACAGAAAGATGGGATAATTATATATATTATTATTATCCCATCTTTCTGTTTAAATATATATAAATTTATATATCATGTATAATTATAATTAGGTAATAATTATATATTATCTCATTTTTATAAAGCAAACCATTCGTTCAATAATAGTTATTGAGCATCTATAATGTTTCAGGCACTGTTCTAAATACTTGGTTCTGTTTTATGTGCTGGACATAATAATAATTATATGTGTGTATATATGTGTGTCTGTATATATACGAATATTTGTATGTGATTGAACAATGAAAAAAAATTTGGAAACATACACATCAAGCTTATAAGGCTGGCTACCTTAGGGATGAAGGCAATTAGAAAAGAAAAAGGAAGTAGGCAAAAAGAGTTTAAAAAAGTAGGATTCTATGATAAAACAGCATGCATATGACCCTGTTTATATCAAACTCTGTGTGTGAGTGTGTGTGTGCACGTGTGCACAGGGAAGTATATGAAATGATGGTGACCAAAATGTTGACCAAGTTACTTCTCAGTATAGAGGCTGTTCAAAGGATGGCAATTTAAATAATGGTACCATTGTAAATCAATCACAATTTACATCGCTTTATTTTAACATCCTTGGAAATCTGAATATAAATATGTACTGAGATCTGCAAGGTTATTTCCAGAAATTGCACAAATAACGCTAAAAAGGGAAAGAAAATTGCCATCTCTGAACGGTTTCTTGGCACAAATCTGGGCTACGAAAGTCCTGTCTGTGTCGCAGCAACAGCGGCAGACCCGTTTTCATCGTGACTTCTCCCTTCCTTGGCTTCTTAATCTACGCCCACAGGTGGCCATCTTCCTAGAGATGCCGAGTTCCACCAGCTCTGACCCTGCCTATTCACTTTCCCGTGAAAAGCAAGTTGGCCTCACAACTTTCCTTTGGAATTAGAGACCTCAGTTCCCACAAAATTAACCCAGAGGGTAGTGGGCAGAGAAGTTGGGATGTGAGTTAACAGTGTTGGGGGAGGAAGGGTCTGTTTATCCCTTATTAAAAAGAGTAGAAAAACTGAACAAATAAGTGTGGTTTATTTTCCATTTAACATTTCTACACTCATTTACGAGGGATAAAAAAGATTTTTGCACAGTAATCTATTTTTTTCCTAATTTTTAAAAAATAAGTAATCAAGAGGGAGTTTCTCAAATACTTGGGATTGTCGACGAAAATAATCTATAATCATTCTATAAATCAAAATTGGGGTGAATTTATTATGAGCCAGATCTGTGAACTAGCCTGGGGCCTTCCTTCCCCGAGGAAAGAAGGGCACCAAAGAAGAGGAATGTACAGAGTGGTCATATACTATCTTGGAACAAAGAGCATACATCCCATATGATAGAAATGTGCCTTTTACAACAGTCACGAGATTGCCTAGCTGGCACAGCACAACTTTTCACACAGCAGGTAGCAGGTCTGCTGTCTGGATGGACGCAGGAAGTAGGAGGTCTGTTGTCTGGAGCTGGGTGGTCAGAGGTTGGGCACAGCAATCAGTTCCTAGCCTAGGGAGCGGTTCTTATCCTTAAGGAAATGCCAATGTGGGGGAAGTTGCATCTTTATCTTAAGGGCATTTGTTCTTGTCTTTGGGACATAGCAAATACTTAAAGCAGATATACAGTGTGTGCTCAACGGCCACGTCAGGCCCTTTTGGAAAAAAGAGGTCAGGCTGAATTCGTTTTATGCCATATGGCTTCCTCATATACTCTAGTATATCCTATTGCTTGCCATCTATTTATCAGGATTGACACATTTTTATTTTCCAACATACATAAACTGCTTTCTAGTCCACTCAACCTCACAGAAAGGTGTAACATCTTAAATCAGCCTATATCTAGCAACATCAATGACAGTAATAATAACTTGGCTGTAAAAATAAGGCCTCTTCTAACTCCACGAGATTGCATATTAAAAAGGGATCTAGTAGGGGCTGCGCCGTGGCTGAGTGGTTGAGTTCCCACGCTGCGCTTAAGCTGCCCAGGGTCTCACCGGTTCAGATCCTGGGCGCGGACATGGCACTGCTCATCAGGCCATTCTGAGGCAGCGTCCCACATGCCACAACCGGAAGGAGCCACGACTAAAAGTATACAACTATGTATTGGGAGGCTTTGGGGAGAAAAAGGAAAAATAAAATCTTTTTTTAAAAAAAAAGGGGGGATCTAGTAAATATAGGCAGTACACTCTTTGTCATCAGTATTAAAAGGACCTTTTCGGACACTATAAACCCTCAGACAAGGGAAACAATAGAAAGAATAAACAAATGGGACTTCATCAGACTAAAGAGCTTCTTCAAGGCAAGGGAAAACAGGATTGAAACAAAAAAACAACCCACCAATTGGGAAAAAATATTTGCAAGTCATATATCCAACAAAGGGTTAATCTCCATAATACAAAAAGAACTCACACAACTCAACAACGAAAAATCAAACAACCCAATCAAAAAATGGGCAGGGGACATGAACAGACATTTCTCCAAAGAAGATATATGGATGGCCAATAGGCACATGAAAAGATGCTCATCATCACTGATCATCAGGGAAATGCGAATCAAAACAACACTAAGATACCACCTTACACCCATTAGAATGGCAAAAATAACCAAAACAAAAAGTAACAAATGTTGGAGAGGTTGTGGAGAAAAAGGGAGCCTCATACACTGATGATGGGAATGCAAACTGGTGCAGCCACTATGGAAAACAGTATGGAGATTTCTCAAAAAGTTAAAAATAGAAATACCATATGACCCAGCCATCCCACTCCTGGGTATCTATCCAAAGAGCTTGAAATCAGCAATTCCAAAAGTCCCATGCACCCCTATGTTCACTGCAGCATTGTTTACAATAGCCAAGACGTGGAAGCAACCTAAGTGCCCATCAACTGATGATTGGATAAAGAAGGTATGGTATATATACACAATGGAATACTACTCAGCCACAAAAAAGGATAAAATTGTCCCATTCACAACAACATGGATGGACCTAGAGGGTGTTATGTTAAGTGAAATAAGCCAGATAGAGAAAGACAATCTCTGTATGACTCCACTCATATGTGAAAGTTAAACACATCGACAAAGAGAACAGATTAGTGGTTACCAGGGGAAAGAGCGGATCGGGGTGGGCACCAAGGGTGAAGTGGTGCCTCTACAACACGACTGACAAACAATAATGTGCAACTGAAATTTCACAAGGTTGTAAACTATCATAATCTCAATAAAATTTTTAAAAAATAAAATATAAGGGATCTAATGATAACAGTTGACAAGGAAAAGACACAATAAAGCAGCCACCTGTAAATTATTCATGTTATTAACCCATCTTCAGAAAAATAATATCAATAAAAAATGAAGTATTCTGCATGAAAGTCTAGGAAACCTGAGAATCTAGGAGAGAGGCCAAATCTCAGAAACGTATTCAACCAGTCTTGGAATGTTTTCTGCCGTGCAGCAAGGTGTTTCATGTGTCGGGGTGCTGGGTTGAACTATCCTTGGAGGACATCCACCTCTTCCTGCAAGGCCGCGCCTGGCAAACTCTGTGGGTGAGGAGGTGTGGTGGACTGCTTTGGCTGCCAACCGGCTGTTGCATCTTGAGTAGGCACGTGACCAACCTCTGTTTCTTCCATTGTAAAATCAACAAGTTGAGTTAGGTTACTGGTTCTTAAACTTTAGCCAACCTCAGAATCACGTGGAAGGGTGATCCCGCTCCCACTTTACAGTTCAGTAGGACCGGGGTAGGGTCCAAGAATCTTCAGCCTTGACAACAAAGAATTAGCTAACCCAAAAATGTCAGTAGTGCTAAGTTTAAGAAACTCGGTTCTATCGGTGTTCCTAATTCCTGTCATTCTACTTCAAAGGGCCGGTAAGGACTTTACTCCTAACCAGGAATGGAATGAAAGCAAAGTTGTTTTCTACTCTTTTAACCCACCTAGAGCTGAACTTGTCTACTGTCAAAAGCCAAAGTTTCCAGATGGCTGTTGGTGATTATGCTGGGCTCCTTGGTGGGCAATCCTGCTCCATTTTTCTCAACTCTGCTCCTGTCATTCTGGAATTCTGTTGTCTCATTACCCGAACAAACAATGGTACTTGTACGTACAATGGATGCTTTGGGTCCAAAGACACTCATTACTACTTGAATATTAGGCTCTCCAGGCTCCAGGCCCCCAAAACATTAATATTTCGTTGGGAATCTAATCTAGCCTCTCCTACTGTTTCCAGGGCAATCTTCCCTCTTTGTCTTCCTGGTTGTTCTTATTGATAAGCAACAGCTTTGCTTTAATTTTCGGTTATAATATCCTTCTCCCTAAAGGAAAGCTAGAATACATTTCATGATATTAGTTTCCACCATGGCAACAGAAGGCTTTTTATGCATGCATGAATATTCAAGATTTAATCAGTGGCATGTGAAATGTATTGATACTGCTGAGAATTATTATTTTATGCAAATAGAACAAGCAAGCTACAGTCTTTTATTTGTTTACATGATACTGGGGGAATATCTGAACTTTTCCAGGAAGCAGATTTCTAGTCGTTTGTTAAGTCAATATGCCTCTCCCATCCTTCAGAGGGTAGTCACCGCCGAGGGCAGCAATGAAACACATTTTTTAGATGAAGTATTTCAAACATTTAATGTGCTTAATTTAAAACAAGCCATTTCATGATGTTAATCAGATTGTGACATCACTTCATTGTTTCAGATTCTCTGATTGGAAAGTCTAGCCACCTGGGACATGAGAGACATGAAAATTCAGACTTAAAGACTGCACATTTGCCTTTGATCATCTTACAGGGATTGTAACTTCTTTTGGTATGCCAGTTTCTTCACTAAGGTGATGAAATCTATGGACCCTTTCCCCAGAGAAGCACATATATTTGGGTACCCGTAACATTTTACCCACAGTTTGATGGGATATTCACACGTGTCACGCTCTTTCATGGAACCCTTAGAGGACAAGGCTATCAGGTTAAGGACCCTTGCCTTAAAGCAACATGAGAGGAGGGTCTCAGAAGCCTGGATCTGATCTTGTGGACGCTCAGGTCCCCGGCTCTTAGAGCTCCCCAGGAGCGGCAGAGGGCATGGAGGGCTCCTCTACCTGAGTAAATAGGCACACGCCTTCTACAACTAGCATTTTGGTATGCTTTGATACTTGCATATGGGTACACTTCTCAAGATTCCCTTGACTGCAAGTCATCGAAACTCAAAATAACAGAAAAGAGGTTTATTGTCCTACATACCTGGGAACTGGATCTAGGACCTCAACAGTGTCATAGAGACATTCATGCTCTTTCTCAACCATCTTCTACAGATCTCTCTCACTCTCCCCCTCTCTCGCCTCTTCCATCTTTCACTTCTGCTTTTTCTGTGTTGTCTTTATTCTGAAACAAAGATGTCTACTAGCAGCTCCAGAATTAAATCCTCAACAGAAGAAGAGTTTCTTTCTTCCTAAGAATTGTGTCTAGTCCTGAGTCACCTGCTGGAGCCAGAGATGGACCACACCATGTGAACCGCGTGAGCTGAGAATAGGAAGGAATGATTCCCAAGGGGAAATCGAGAGCTGTTGCCAAAAGAAGGGGAATGGATGCTGGTGAGAGGGGCATAAGCGCACACTGTGTACTACAGTAAGTAGAATAAGTTATCCAAGGGATTAATAGATTTTTGGGTTTTATCCATCACCATTCCTGATTCCCATGCCACCATTTCATTAAAATAAGCCACACACTTGAAGAATTACTTAGGCCAAGAAAGATAGAGGAATTATTTGCTAAAATTGTATTTGGGGGAGGGGTTGTAATAATTCTCCATATTTGCTGTGAGGTTTCTGAAATGCATTGATTGTTCTAATAAGTTGATTTGTTTCTCCAGGCACTTGTGTTGATACTGAAAAGGTGATCTGCTGTAACCATGGGGACTTGGTGTAACCCCTTTTCATGATGATTATTCTCTCATGCACCATATTTCCTACAACAAATGGCTGTATTTTTTTCTTTTAATTTTGAAAAGAATAAAAAAGGAAAATGCAAAGAACAATGCAACCATCACCCAAGGCCCCTCTACCTAGAATTCGTAAATGTTAACATTTTGCCACTTTTGCCGCAGATTTACATAAATGTTTGTATGAGAAATCTTACGTATATGCAAAATGAAGTTGCTCTCTCCACAGACCTGTATCTGTATTTTCTTTTCTAGAAGCAATAACTATATGATTTGATTTTTTACGAACTATTTAAGACTTACAAAAAGGCAGATAGACTAACAACACCAATGCTTTAGTAGTCATAATTAAACCTTAGACATAAGATATTGCCAATTAAAGCCCCTGTGTGCACCTCCCTAACCCCTCTCCTCCCCTTCCACGGAGGGCGGGGGGAGCGGGGAGCACCCGCTAAGCTCAGTGTTTATCGCTTCCATGCATTTGTTTGTTTGTACAGCTGCTGCACACACACACATAATCTTTAGATAAAGTAGGCTTTAAATATTTTATATATGACATATTTATACATTATACATTAATAAACATAATTAGTTATATAGGTATTTTACATTAGTCATGTACATATAAAGTATATATTATATATACACACACAAAGTTATATACATATGTACGCTGTATCTACTCATGTAACTTGCTTTTTTGGTGGAATAGATTGTTTTGAGATTTACTCATGTTGAATCTATGTAGTTCTAGTTCATTCTTCCATGGTATAAAATTTTTGAAATTAGTGTGTAGAAGACATTGCAGCTCCTATCATAGTTTCTCTCTCGTTCTCTCTGGGATGGCTTGCCCTGGGAGAAACCGGCTGCCGTGTCTTGAGCAGCCCCAGCAAGAGATCCACATGGGGAGGACCTGGGGCCTCTGCCATGAGCCTCGTGAGAGAGCTGGGAGCGCAGCGCCCCCCCCCCATCGGTGGAGCCTGCAGATGACGCAGCTCCTGAGAGCCCCTGAGCCCACAGCGCCCAGCTAAGCTGCTCACAAGTTCCTGACCCTCAGAAACTGTGCAAATGTTTGTTGTTTTAAGATGCTAATTTTGCGGTAATTTTTACATAGACACAGCTAGAACAATATGGAAGCAAGTCTAAGCATTCCTGAAAACATTTATAGGATTTTGATGAAAGTGTAGACATGAAACTTTTTCTCAGGGGGAGTATTTTTCCTTGATTCTTGCCACCAGAGGGCAAAATGGTCACAAATGATGGCGGGGTGGGTGGGGCGGGGAGGAGGGGGGGAAGAATTACAAGGCTTTTTCTTTTTCCATAGAACTGCAGGTGTCGGAGATGCAAAATCTTTGAGATCACCTGGTCCCGTTCAGTCAAGTTACAAATGAGGATTCTAATGCCCAGAGGCATTAGTTGACGGGTGGGAGGTCACAGAGACCTACTTCTAATTGTAAAAACTCAGCTGCATATGACAACATGCAGCCTAGATAACTATTAATCAATTCTGTTATTTTTTAAAAATCTCTAGGTACAGAATAGAGAAAGATTTGTTTAATCCTCTCTATTTCAATTAACATATTAATATTCCCACAGCCAAAAAATTTATAACAACCATTCCCATTTATGGGCTGCCTGTTATGGGCCACTTCCCAGACATTATGTGCTACATGTCTTTTCATTCAATCTGCACAATGAACTTTGAAACTTACACTCATCAACGCATGAGAGTCAGGACATGTTAGCTAGAAAGAAGCAAAACAAACGTGAATCTGATACAGGTTAAATCTCATTACAGTGATTTAGGGAGCACAACTCAGTCTTTGATTATACCAGAAGTTTGTTGTTTCTGGAAATCTTTTAGTATGTTAAGATAACTAAGTGGCATTATGTACAGCATTGGAAGAGAAAAGAAAAACTAATTTTGATGACTCTCCTTTCCTTTTTCCCAGAGACCTTTCTCTCTCCTGCTCTCTCATCCTCACTCACGTACACACACATTGCCTCTTCCCGTCCTTCTACCTGACCAGCTGTGTGATCTTGGTTAACCTTCCCAGAGCTTCTTTGTTGCACGTTCTTCATTTCTAAATACACCTGCCTCCTTCAAACTTTCAACAGGGATGCTGAGCTCTCTTCCAAGAGAGAGGGACCCTGAGAGCTTCAGGGCAGAAGACCAACTACCCTGAAAGCATCTCACTGTAAGGAAGCTCAAGCTAGCCACGTGGAGAGAGAGACAGAGACATGCCTGACCACCTCTCAGATGTTCCAGTCATCACAGCTGATGTTCTGGACATGAGTAAGTGAGGAAGCAATCTTAGACATTTCAGCTCCGGTAGACACCATGTGGAGCAAAAGAACTATCCAGCCCAGATTGCAGGAATGGGAGAATTAATAAATATTTGGTGGTGTTAAGCCATTATGTTCTCATGATGTTTGTTACACAGCAATAGATATTTGAAACACCTATCAACATTTCAAACAGGATCATATATCTCTTGACGCTCTCCCTTTGCTAAATGAAATAGAATATTCCTTCAGAGAAATGAAATGAAAAAAGATAACAGGGTGGTAAAATGGAGGGAATACAGTTTTTACCTTCATAAAAGTCCTGTTAAAATAGAGAATTCCTTTTTTTCCTGCACTCATTCATGCTCAATAATACTTGTTTTGTTTTGTTGGGATTTTTTTTGAGGAAGATTAGCCCTGAGCTAACTGCTGCCAATCCTCCTCTTTTTGCTGAGGAAGCCTGGCCCTGAGCTAACATCCGTGCCCATCTTCCTCTACTTTATATGTGGGACACCTACCACAGCATGGCTTTTGCCATGCAGTGCCATGTCCGCACCCGGGATCCGAACTGGCGAACCCCAGGCTGCTTTTCTTTCCTGCATAGCGTGCTTCTCTGTGCTATCTGTGTGTCTCCTGTTGAGGCGCTTCCTTGTTCTTTTAAAATTAGCAGTGACCTCCTTGAAGCAGGGACTCTGAATGACTTTCTATGCTTCTTCATCCTCTCACACAGTGTCCCTCCACAGTACATGTGTAACAAGAATTTGTTGAAGGAGCAGAAGTTGGATAAAGAGACCGCATCTGCGTTTGAAGCCCAGCTCTGTGACCTACTAGTAGTATAACCTTGGTCAATTTACTCAGTTTTTCTACATTTCCATTTTCTCACTTTGTAAAGTAGGAAAAATAATATTTTACATGATTGGTTGTCATAAAACTTAAACTATCCACACAAGTATAACACATACATATATAATGCAATTAACGCAGAGCCTGCATGCAGTTGAATCTAAGTAAATGTAGTTCCTCCTCAAAGAGGTTATTTGCCTTTAGATAAAATCTGGGGAAAGTGAAGATCACTGCAGTGATCTGAATGTTCGTGACCCCCGCCTTCGCATGTTGAATCCTAACCCCCAAGGTGATCTTATTAAGAGGTGAAGCCTTTGGGAGGTGATCAGTCTGACCAGGTGGAAGCGATTGGTGCCCTTCCAAAAGAGGCCAGAGAAAGCTCCCTTGCCCACCTTCTGCCATCGGGGACACAGAGAAAAGACAGGTTTCTGTGAGCCAGACAACTGGCTGTCACCAGACACCGAATCTGCAGATGCCTTGATCTTGGACTCCCCAGCCTCCACACCTGTGAGAAATCAATTATTGTTGTTTCTAAGCCTCCCAGTCTATGGCATATTGTTACAGCAGCCCGAATGGACTGGGACAGTCACTATTGCTAGAATTCAGTTTGAATGTATTTTTATTTAAATGGTGACTTTTCAAATTCTGCTTTCATGTAAGATAAATTTCTTATTTGGCCAGTATTAGCTGGCAATAGCTGAACATCTGTTATAATTTATCGAGAGTCACTATTTTGGAAAGTTGATAATATTACTTTTAAATCAATGACTGTGGTAATCAAAGTTTGCTGGAGCAAAAGAGTCAGAAGGACAGAGAAAAGGAGAAGCAAAATGACTCATTTCACAAACTATAGGTCTAAGGCCAGAGGGACTCGTCTTGAAATGTCTGTCCATGGTCACCTCCTTGTAATCTCCCATGATGCTGATAGGACAAGTGATGTGTCCTTGCCGAAAAGGAACCTAGGTAGAAATTTTGAAAAAAATGTGTCTTTCAATGAAAGACTATTGCCTAGAGAGAAAAAGCAAATGCCACGAATAAATAGTTTTTGTCATTTTCTATGTTTATCACACATTTATAAAATAAGTAGATACAGAATTATTGATATAGAATTTGAAAAAATTCAAATGAGATGATTATTAGTATTTTTTAGAGAATAAGCTGTATTTGGCAAGATAACACCTAATAGCTGAGATTCACCAGTATTTTAAAATGAATGATAATGAGTTAAAATTATGGTTAGGACAATCAGCTTAATGTTAAAAGTCATTTGTTTTAGTCTGTAACTTAGGAAACAAAACAGTAAGATTCAATTTATAGGATAATCTCTTTAAGTAGTAGAAACTATAGCCTTTAAAGAGGATTCAAATCTTTTCTTCTCTAACCGCTAGGGAGAGCCTTATCTGCTCTCAAGAGTTGCTGAAATAACCATTCTAATCTTTCAAAATCTGTATCATGCCTAATTCCCTGGTGTTTCATCCTGCAGAGAATATAAGGGTTTATGAAGAGATTTAGAAGGAGAAACAGCGGCTTCCTCTTCCTATAATTCATTCTTACCTTGGGGACAAATGACTGGGAGATTTCCAACTCACACGCCTGGCTGATGGGCAGTCTGTAGTCTGAACGCGTTCTCCAGGCCCAGCATTCTAGACAGCGTCTCTGATTGGAACAAGATTAGAACAATTATCTCTGTAACCTTAAAAGCACTGAGACTCTCTCCCAAAAGTACGCCATTGAAAACCTAAGATAAACGGCAGACCCCAAGGATGTGGCAAAAGTACATGAAGGTGTTTTTATCCCTGGGCTCCAGCTGCATATAGGGTATGAGATGAGAGACTGTGTGAACTGGTTACACATTCCAGACCACCCAGATAGATCAATGGAGAGCCCTTAGGATTTACCGTGACAGGTACTATTATAATCTCTTTAGCTCTGCACTTAAAAATATATGTTTGGCTCAGTTTCCACCCAGAATTTGTGGGTCTATATCATTGTCAGGCTACCAATATCTTCTCAGAGAAGGGAACATTTTACTGAAAATATCTCTATTTCCCTCATTCACAGATTCACAAGCAGGAGGGACTCGAATGCTCCTTAGCTCT